GTGTGTGTGTGTGTGTGTGTGTGTGTGTGTGTGTGTGTGTGTGTGTGTGTGTGTGTGTGTGCGCGCGCGCGCGCGTGTGCATGTAGGTGGAACATGATTCCCACTGCTACCAGGAAGAGGAAGCTCTCCTCGCTGGACTCTGACAGGTGAGTAGTGAACACACTGGGTTTAGGCTTTTGTAGAGGGGTTGACTGACTACAATACTGTCAATAATTAGTTTACTTTGATCAGAAAGTTCCTGATTTAAGTCAAAAGTTTAGCAGATTTATACTCTTACCCAACTCTACGGTAAACGTCCATACAGCTGCCTGTCCTTGTGTGCGGCTTCTTTTGTTAAATGAAACATCACTTTGGTATTGGGACCCAAACTCTGATGTCATATCGACACTACTACTAACAATTCTCAACCCCAGTAACAGTAAACAGGTTGTAATTATACTGTATATGATGTTCTGTGTATTCCCACGTGGAATTCTATAATTTTTCTAGATTTATATTTTCATTTAAAGTATTTTTTTGATGTCTGTTGAGATATTTGTGTCACCATCTATAGGTCTTTGCTGTATTTCTGTTGTTTTTTAAAATTGTATTATATACTACATGGGAATTTGTTCAAATCTTTTTGAGAGAGATATTTTAATTCGGGGAAATCGAGTGAAAGCTGTTTTGGATCTTTGCAGTTTCTCAACTCTCACTGTGACCGATCTGTTGTTACTTTAACTCCAGCCACCCAGCCAAGAACAGGGTGAGGGAGGAGTCGTCCCCCGTGAAGAGGAGCTCCCCCAGGAAGCCCCCACAGTCTCCCACCAGGGAGAAGCCAGTTGGGCGCCCGAACAAGGATAACTGTACCTCGCCTCAGAAATTTCCCCGTAGAGCAGCAGGTAGGGTGGACTGGTGAAAGGAATGAGGTAGTCATTTTGGGTCAGCTGTCCAAAGTAATGCATTCAAATAGCAGAGTTAGGACATGTAACAAAATTACTCTTCTTCTTCACCTTTTCCACACACGTTCTCTCAAACACATCTAATCTTTTTCTGTTTGTCCACCATGTTTACCAGGCTCTCCAGCCAAATCTCCTCGTAAATCTCCATTCAAACCGTCCATGGTTACAAGTTCCTTCTATGGTGAGAGGAAAGCCGTCTATCTCACTCCACTAGAGAGGAAGGCACTGAAGGACTCTCTGCCATCTTCTCCTCCTCCTCGTCTCCTTCCTTCCCCTCCTTCCCAGGAGAAAAAGAAGAACAAGAGGAATGTTAAAGGAGGCAGCAAGCAGAAAAAGGTGGCTGCAGCCTCCAGTAATGTGGGGAAGACGGCTACCAGAGGCAAGGCGACCTCTTCAAAGACGATCAAACTGCCCAAACGTAACATCAGGTTTGTTCCCATATAAGTCACAGCCGTGGCTGCTTTGTTTTGGTGCTCCTGCAGCCTTTTGACACCATTTTGTAGTTTCTTGGACATCATAGGTGTCTCTATTTTCGAACATAAGCATAGTAATCATTGCATTGTTTATTTCACAGTGTCGCTGCTAAACCAGCGCCCAATTCAACTGCTGCTTCCGCTAGCAGCAATAAACCGGCCGAGTCCAGGAAAGCGATCACCATCGCTTTCAGCAGCCTGAAGCCCAAACCGAAGATCTTTGTGGGAGCTGCTTTCTTCAGCACCGGGAACAAAGCAGCATCTATGTACAAGAAATCTGCAACCAGGCCAGCTTCAGTCCCAAAAAGCAAAATGGTCCAGCTGCAGACACAAAGTAAGAAATCAAAGCCACCCGCTCCGTTGACGACCCAACAACGGAAACACCCAAAAGAGGTGAGGGAAGCCGTTATGTGTGTTTGTAATCTGCAGGCCAGGTCTGTCATGCCACAATGAGTAACATTAATACTTGATCTGAAGCATGTACAAGTTAGGATGCAAATTGCAATCAGACAGTGATCAGACCACAGCTCTTGCAGTGGTTGTTCTTCAGATTCTTTGTCACGTTGATGTTAAGTTGTCCTGGCCTACAGGCCGATGTCCAGCCGGTGGAGACGGAGGAGAACCAGCCGAGCACCAAGCAGAGAACAAAGTTTGATCCGTCAGACTGGATAGAACCAGTTAACGAACAGCCCGAAACTCCGCAGACATTCAGGTGCTTTATTGTATATTATCTTGGCTGCCCCCAAAATTTAAATTTCTTCCCAAATTAAGAAGAAATCGTGCAAACGGACAGAACACTCTGAATGCTGTGAAGGTTTTTTGCTACTATACACGGAAGCGCATCGTTTCAGATCAACAATAACCTTCATCTTCCTCCTGCAGGTCTCCTAAAATGTTGAAATACGGGATTACCAAGGAGCTGACGATTGTGTTGACAAGGACCCCAACAGCAAGTCCTGCATCCACGGCCGCATCTCTCAGTCCTCAGGTACAACACAAGTATACACACCATGTTCATGGATGGTGCTGGTAGCTACCGCCTACAAAAGTTAAACATTTCACGGCATTTTATGGCCCATTTAACCGTAACAATGAAACATTGCAATGGAAGAGACGATGCTAGCTCAATGATTGTTTTGACCCCGGCTTCATATTCATTATTGTCCAACTCTCAACGATGCCCAACACGCATTTAAAACCATCGCAAATCTAAAAACGTTTGAGGCAAAACAAGCCATCGGGCACGTCAACCGTAGCAACTGAACCAAACGTGCTAATCACTTTCAAAGTATGTACTGTTGCATGTATTCAACTAGGACATACTACTTCATCTGAACATTGTACCTTTAACGTTGACCCTCTTCTCTTATATATCCGCTGCGCAGAGGATTGTGGGTCAGAATAGCGAGAAAAGCATGCTGACTTGTATACTGCAAAAAACGGCCAGATGCAGTAGTACATCCTGGTATTTTTGGCATACTGCATTTGAAATACTACTAAATCTTCTGTCATAATAAATAGTATGGTAGTATTGGTAATTGAACGCACAGCATATGTGACTCTGTGTACGGAGGATGCTGTGACAACACTACAGTGCTCTTGGCCTTGCGGATGGCTTACAATTGCCGCCTCCCCCTTTTATGAGGATGTCTCACAATTTTGCACAATGTTTGCATCTAGCTTTCTTCTCCCATTTGAGATCCACCAACAAACAAACCAGGCTTTAAGTGAAGCCAGATCACAAAAAGATACCCCGAGCATGTTGAGCTCTCTGTTAAACCTTCATGTTCTCTCTACTTCTTCCAGGATGGTGGCTTTGAACTCGTGTGTGACCTGAGTGAGAGCAGTCCCGCCAGTGCTGCCGCCAGCACACCCAGAGGTGCACAAACATACACTGTTGTTCACACTTCCATTACCTCAGTTCTACATCTGAAGCTGATTTCACTCCACTGAAACACTGACTAGCTCACATAGAATCACAGAGACTTCCGTAGCTTTAGCCAGTCCACTCACTTTGTTTTCATGTTTCGATGAGCATTTCAGTTTCAAATATCGCTCTTGTTCCATGAAAGCTTTATTTTAAATAGGCATTTTTTTTTTTTTTTTCTCCACAGAATCTGCAGCGATGTATCCCATCTTTGGCTCCGCCTCCAAGAGGTGAGATGGTCTGTTTAGTCATCGACCGTTAACACGGCACAATGAGAGGTTTCGTGTATGAAACGAAACAGGAAGTGTGGCGCTGTACTTCTAGCTTATAACCGGGTAAAGCTTTGCGGTTCTGGCAAAGGAAGATGGAAACAATTGTTCCGACATGTTTACTCTCTTCAGTAAAGACATAAACAGGGAGATGGAAAGCAAGAGCAATGAAATGTTAGAAACAGAAGAAGAAGTGACCGGTCTACTTTTTCATGGACTTGTGCACAAGTTAAGGAGTCCCTAATGAGTAAATATATATGGATTATAAATAGCTGCTGGTGTCAGCTTTAGTATCTAATTGCAGTTCTTCAAAGTCCTTTAATGCCATGTATTTTGCACCCACTAACACTCCAGTGTGTTCTCTGTTCTGCTGTCTTGTAGGTTAAAGAATGCCGCGGTGTCATGCAGCGCCCCCTCTGTCCCGATAACGCCCCTACAGACTACGTCTTCACTCAAAGAGCGGCCTGTTCGCCGGAGGAAAGAGAAACAGGATGACGACCAGCTTATTATCGTTCGTTGATATTTATTTTCTCAGCTGTGACAGGCGGATCACTAGATGTTGGTACATATTTGAAGGCTGTCAGAGCTACCACGAAGCCCACACTGTCTCTAACTGCACTCCCTCTGCGCATCTTTCTCTGTATTTTCCCGATCAGGACGCGGGTCAGAAGCAGTTTGGAGCGACGACCTGCAGCTCATGTGGAATGGTTTACAGCGCAGACAACCCAGAGGACCATTTCCAACACACCCAGTTCCACCAGCGCTTCCTCGACTCCATCAAGTTTGTGGTAAAACTTATTTCCTTCAACTTCTCTGAACTGAACACTGTAGCAGTGAGACGATGCTGATATCGGGTATCGGACACCTCCTTTTTTTGTAAATAACAATTAAGTACATTTGTATTTATTTGTTGTATTTTGTCAGGAAAGCAATGTTTAAGTCAAGCCTGATGTTGCCTTACACATAAACGAATCCCATTCAGTTCCACACAGTGAGGCATACGGCTTTTGACTAAACACTGGGATCGATTATTGGGACTGAAAAAGTAGAACTGTTGCATGTTTGAAACCACATGAAGTGCAAGTAATTCTTTACATTCCTATACACTTGTACACTAATCCTAATTAAACAGCGCTATAATGTATTTTGTTAGTTGTGCTACTTCCTTATCTAGCATGTACTATTGACAGTCCCTTTCTTCTTTCCCTTTTTGCAACCTCAGCGATAACGTGACTTGTTTTTATTCATTGTTTAGTATTTATTCAGAGATCTTCTGCCAAGGCTGCTGGCATGAGTTTGTGTCATGGGGAGGTGAGTTTGTTCGGAGTTGTTGGCTTGTAACTGCAGCTCCGTCTCTCTGTTGTGTTTCCAGGGCTGGAAGAAGGAGCGAGTGGTGGCCGAGTTCTGGGATGGAAAAATCCTCCTGGTCATGCCAGATGATCCCAAATACGCCATTAAAAAGGTGCAGGTTTGCACTTTTAGCTGGTTTCTCACAGCGCATGTATACCAAGTATGTCTCCACTTCAGTCTGTAAAACTCACAGTTCAGCTCGCTGGAAATTTGAAGTCAAACACATCGCTGTTCACAGATTTGTCATACTATATCTGTGGTTTGAGAGACGCGACACACTGTTTAGGTGGCGGGAATGTCTTTTTTGCTTTTTCACAAGTGTACAAACTCTTTCTCCCAGGTTTGATTTTCACACATTCTTCCTCACAACGTGTGTTTGTTTTCAGGCTGAGGAAGTGCGCTGTGTAGCGGACAGCGAGCTGGGTTTCCAGCAGGTGACCCTGAGCAGACCCACAAAGGCCAAAACCTACCTCTTCATCAACACCGAGCGCATGGTGGTGGGCTGCCTCGTCGCTGAATTCATACGTCAGGTATGGCTGGAGAAGTGTGTGTGTTTGTTTCTTCCATCTTTTTAGTTATTTGTCCTTGATGACCTTTGCACAGCGGCTCCCAACATTTTTTGTCACAAGTCCACCAGGTTGTTACAACCAAAAAGTTCCCCAGGTGTTGACATGGAGTAAAAACATGATTATTAGTTTGCTACCGAAAATGTCTTTTGGTTTGCTATCTCAGAGACTCCCTGGTTTGGAATCGCTGCCTTTATGGTCTGATTAGACCAGAAAACCATTTAGTTAATAATATATTGGAGTCTGCATGGCGACAGCACTTACCACCTCCACTTACCAGTTGTTTGGGTAAAGAAGCCAAACAAAAATCGCAGTTTATTTGCGGTTCCCTGCATAACTGTTGCAAATAAATAGCAGGGTTGAGTCAAATAATTCGGAACAGCTTGTAAATGAATGTGAATAGTCTGTTACTGAAATGTGGTGAGTTTTACTTGACACATTTTAACCTGGACTACTTTGTTTTTGTGTCCTTTTGTATCCTATTTATACTTTGAACTAAAACAAACCCATTTTTCCCCCTCGTGAATTGTCAGTTTATGTCATTGTGCTGTTGTGACTTTAGTACGTAAACACCGGACAGTAAATTGTGCTCGTTCTGTGCGTTATTGATGTTGATTTGTCCCGCAGGCTTACCGAGTCCTCGAGCAGCCGGACCAACAAAAAGACATGACGAGGGACGACTTCATGGAGCGACACCGGACCTGGTGCTGCTCCACCGTCCCAGAGCAAGCTCTGTGTGGGATCAGTCGCATCTGGGTCTTCAGTCTGGCCAGACGACAGGGCATCGCGACGCGCATGCTGGACACTGTCCGGTACAACACACATCTCACTCTTGTTGAAAACATTTGATGATGGGGTTGCTGACCTTATCTAAATTTGCAGACTTAAAACACTGTAAGGTTCGAGCCGGTATAATGTTTCCCTTTCTTCACAATAATCCCTTCTTCCTTGTTTTAGGAGCACCTTCATGTACGGCAGCCATCTAACCAAGGAAGAGATCGCTTTCTCTGACCCTACGCCCGACGGCAAACTGTTTGCAACCAAGTACTCCAACACACCGACCTTCATGGTTTACAACTTCGTTGCATGAAGTAGATACATGGATTAAAGGTGTATTACTGTTTAACCGACTCGTTGAATTAGACGTACTGCATATTAACAGATCTTCCGGCAATTGTTAAACTGTTTCATATGCAAAGCAATGACTGTTCAGGTTTATGTTGATTAGGCTTTAGTTGTTTGAGTAAGCTCCAGCTGAATAGCTGTAATACATTCCGTGTTCAGGATTAAGTCGAGTTTTAAAGGTTCATGAAGCACCTGTTTCCACTTAGTATTTATGCTCTAATTTACTGTTGAATGTTTTTTATTGGCGGCTTTCTATGCAGATGTTTATATTCTGCCTGAGGAGCTTGGAATTGCAGCGACTGAAACTGTCCCATTTTTGCAAAGATACCAAAAGTTTTTTTTGATCGAATATTCAGAGGTTCATTGTTCTTTTTTTCTAGACAAGAAAATGTTTATGAAAGAGTGAAGCCTTCATCGTTTAGGGGCAGTCTACTTTGTAAATATACTTTAAACGTTGACTTTTGTTTTATGATAATAAACATGTTTCTTGAAAATGTTTCAGATTGTACCCGAACAGTTAATTTGAGGAGGGACTATCATGTGTATCTGCGAATGGAGATCAAAGTAGCTCAACATTTTTGTAGCTCTGCTTGTTGCCAGGAGTTGTATGAGTAGATTGATAAGTACGGTGTGGCAGGCGGGTCAGCAGCCAGATGGTTTGGCATGAACACTGGAAACAGAGCTGCTTTCCATTTCGAGTCGTTTTCCAAAGCAAAGAACTTCATATTTAAAGACATGGTATCAATCTTCTCATCTAACTCGGCAACAAATAATACCCACAAGTTTTTAATATTTAAAATTAATTGGTGTGCATAAAAGACCTTCCTGTTAACCAGACCTGCAGCACAGTCTATCACTACACACAAACAGATACGTTAGGATAGAAAATAGAAACGGAGCTCAAAAGTTTTATCAAGAAATATTAAAGTTTACAGAAACAAACGAGAAAGCAAAAACATTTACACACTATAAAAGTTGACTTACATGGGAAAACAACTTTATAGCAAAGACGACATACAAATAAAATGTGCTATTGAGAGTCAACAAAGATGTACAGTAGAGATGACCATGCGCTTCACGTCAAATGCATTTGCTTGAGATTCTAAATGAATACAACCCTCCCCGAATAAACTAGTGCTTATACGATGAAATCAGTCGATGACGATCACCTCGCTGGACGTTTTATCCAGCAGAGCGTTGCTCTCTAGAGCCTGGACCACCTGGGCGGCTGAGGGTCTCATCTTGGGGTCCTCATTGGTGCAGAGATAGAAGAGCTCCACCGTCCTCTGGTACGAGCTGCCCAGAGCCTCGAAGTCCAGCACCGGTCTCGTTCCCAGCTTCTGGTAGTAGGCGTCCTCGTCAAAACCCTCCTCCATCGAGTCGTCTGAAATGCAAAACGCAACATTTTAAACACATTCACTTTTCAACTGCAATGCGACACATTAGCACGAGCAGGATTTGTGATATTCTTCAACCAAAAAGGTAATTATTCGTTCTCAGATTGTTTCATTGGAAGAGGTGAAAGTATTCCATATTTTACACAAAAACAAAAAAGTAGAATTTGGGAGAATTTTTTCTTTGTCCCTTTAATTATTTTGGGGAATCTGACACCAGGTTAGGAATCATAAAATAAATCCTCTACCTGCTAATAGAGCTACATCCAGTCCAATTAAAGACTGCACAGCAAGACTTTAATGAGCTGCTGCCTGAGAGAATCAAACCTGATGATTAGGACTTTTTATTAACCTTTATTTATATTGACACATATTATACATTTTCTACAATACCATTCTATGACATTTATGACTTTCAATTTTAACTTTTTTTAATTAAGATGCTATATTACGAGTTACTTACATCTTTCGCCATGCTATAATATTTTTTTACTGACTTTTTTCAACATGCTATATCATTACTTTTATATTCTGTTCTTCGTCATGCTGTACTATAACTTATTTTTATGACGTTCACGCTATTCTATGACTTTCTATTTTAACGATGACTTCCTCATAAAGCTACCATAGCTCGGCCTAGTTAGGCTTTACACTACCCAGTCTGCTCCCGGCTGATGTTCAGTCAAAAGAAGATGAAATGGATGAAATAGGACTTCAGGCTAAACAAGCAACCTTATTTCGTTGACTGTTGCTCCCACATCAGAGACGTGGCTTCATCGTGGCATCGAGCAACACTTGGGTGAAAAAGGACAGAGCGCAGGACTCGGTGGGACATGAAGAGGACTCTTTGTTTACGTCATGATGCTTGGTACTCAAACATAATCAAAGTTCATGGACAATGTTTCACTAATGTTGATTTCTTGATGTAAAGACGCTGGCCATATTATCTGCAAACTGAAATGTTTGGTTGCTGCTGTTCACGTTCCTCCTGCTGTAAATTAAAAAGATTCACTACAAGAATAGCAAACGAACTACAACTTAATGACAATACATTGTCCTTAAATACTACTACTGTGACTTTTTAAAATTTAATTTCACACTATAGTGACTATCAGACTATTTGATAAAAGAATAGGACCTTTTATGAAATTGTTTTGGCATGAAACGTCATGGTAAAATATTTAATAAAAAAAGGTCATGGTATATTTTGTCACAAAAAATGTCAATAATAGTATAGCATGCAATAAAAAGAGTCATAGTACTGTATTTAAAAAGTCATAGTATGACATTTAAATGTCATAAAAAGTGTTTGTCATATGAATGTCATCAAAAACCCAAGAGTGCAAACTTCAGGGCTTCTTGTATCCACAGAGCATCTCACCTTCAACCTCCTCTTCATCGTCATCGTCATCGTCATCATCATCATCCAACATCTCCAGATGAGGCATGGCCAGGGTCATCATCTCCCACAGAGTCAGACCGTAGGCAAAGATGTCCGCCTTGTCAGTGATTTGTCCTTCCTCCTCCAGCGCTTCCTTGGGCTTCCACGGCTCTGTGCCGATGTACTCCGCCTTTGGGTCCGACACTGAGGGCACAAAGGAGAAACAAAGAACTAGATGAGCACTCGGAGAGCGCACACTGTTCTGTAAGTGAAATATCATCACGCCCCGGGATCTGGAGCCACTCCTAAATGTAACGGCTTCTTCCTTGCTCATGCTACATCCTGTCACTGAGCTTCATCAAAATGTGACCAGCAGTGTGTCCAGAATTCTGCTGACGAACAAACAAACAGAACCCCCTTGGTGGAAGTAATGAAACCCAAATTGGACAACAATCCAATTAAAACACAATACATTCATTCAATTTCTCCGTTTGTAAAATAGCCAATATTACCTTGTTTTTTAAAAACAAAGAGTTCGTGTTTTTCAGGGTTTTCTTTACAATTGCAACAACAAAGCAAAGATCCAGAAGTTTGCAATTAGTTTCACAAAAACAAAGTTGATTTGATTCAATTACATTTTATTTGGATAGCCCAATTTCACAAATCAAAAATTAGCCTCAGAGGGCTTCACAATCTGCACAAGAGATTACAGAATCAGCTGCTATGAACAGTTCCATCCAAATGGTTTCTGCCAATTCTGTGCTTTTATCCATGATTAATCCCACTTGTAACACACACACACACATACACACACATACAGACACGATATATTACATTTACTGTGATGAAATGGATATGATGCTGCTTGTATGATGATGAAATTATAATAGAATACATTAAAGTTTAAGTACTGTACTTAGTTAAAGTAAAAGTACATAACAATTTTACTTGAGTAATTCCTTTTTAAGCTACTTTATACTTTGACTCCACTACATTTCTTAGGGTAATATTGTATTTTGTACTGCACCTCAGTTTTATCTCTTTATAGTATGTGATTCGCTGCTTCCTCCTCCTCCTCTTCTTCCCCCCCCCGCAGAGAGTAGAGCTAGATCTTCACATCAAAGCTACTCGGCTGATTGTTATTTAGAATGACATCATTACCTCTCATGTTCTCGTCCAGCTGCAGAGACACACCGACATCGCAGATCTTGACGGTCTCAAAGTCGCCCATGATGACGACGTTACAAGACTTCATGTCGCCGTGCAGCAGCTTCTTCTCGCTGTGGAGATACTGTGGGGAGAAACACACTCCCGCGTTTAGTTTTGTTAAACACTGCTCACTTCTGAAATGAAACGTTAAAGACGGCCGATGTTTAGACGAGACAAATATGATTTGGGTAAGAATGAACCACTCCAACTGCACACACATTAACATTTACACATGAGGTCATGAGTGGCAGGGAGGCAGCGGTGGTTAGTAACTACCGGTCAGTACATTAACTGAAGGACTGTACTTGAGGACAATTTGAGGTACTTTTACTTTACTTGAGTATTTTCTTCTGCTACGTTATACTTCTACTCCACAAATTTTTTTTTTTTTTTATAATTGCAGATTCATATTACTAATTTAAAATACAATCAACAAATACATTATGATGCAATGTCATTGGTTAAGATTTTATTGGTCCCATGGTTAAATTCACAAGCCATCCAGCAGTACATGGCAAAAAATAAGCTTTAAAGCATCAATAATTAATATGAACATTCACTTTTTGGTGTATGTTTTGTGTCAAAATGTTATTTTCCAAAGCCTCGCTAGAAAGTTTTACCCACGTGGCCTGATGTAGATTTCTGCATGTCGATGATGCTACATACACAGTAAATATACATCCTTACAGTCAGTATATTACACAGAGGAACTCCCAGTTTGGAGAAGCAGACGGGAGTACCTGCTGAAGTTAATAAGCAATGTACTGCTGTTGACGGAACGTTAGTTTGGATCTGAACGTCACACAATAACACAAACTAACCGATGGATGCAGCAGTAGACCAGCAACCTCTGTGATCTGTGGCTCTGAAGAGAGCATAGATAACGGCTTCAGTTCCCTGCTGTCTGATGGCAAGGTAAAGTGGTGAAATATTCTACATATAGCATCCACCTTTTAGTCTTTTCTTTGTCAAAGAAACAGGAGAAGGATACTGGAGGAATATTAACAAGCAGGAGGAGGTATCAGCTACAGTAGTAGCTGTAGTATACTATCATGTAGAGTCAAATGTCACACGTATACAGGGAAACAGGTGTGAAGTGAACCCAGAGATGATACATGTTAAGTAACACCAGGTAGAAGAAAATGTGTGATTTACCTGAAGGCCACGAGCAACATGCAGCGCTACTTTTTCTATGTTGGCAGCCGGGAAAGCTTTCAGGCCGTCCTCCTTCCTCTTCTCGATCAGGTCATTGAGGGACTGCTCTCCTCCGTACTCCATCGCCAGACACTTTGATCCATCTTTGGCCGTGGTGAAGGCACGAAACCCTTCGATGTCGGGATAAGGAAACGAAAATGAACAAAGCAGAAACTAACACAAAATAAAGATGTAAACTAAGCTAACAAGCCATGAAAAAGCTTATGGCGTATAGGAATGTGTCCACTTGTAACACAGTGAGTGTACCGTACCACTGCCATGTCTTACCAACAATGTTTGGATGATCGATTCCCTTCAGGACCTCCGCCTCCTCGTTCAGGCGCTTCTGGTAAACCGCCAGCTGTTTGGTGGCACACTTGGTGTTGATCTTCTTGACAGCCCAGGGAGACCCATTCAACTTTCCCATTCTAGGATTCATTTGATCAACAATACATGTTATTTATATACAGACGTGAACATGACCCAATGTAGTAGGCTTGGGAAACAGCATAATTAAACAATGTTATCCTCAATTTATACTGAAGATGCATTTGAACGTGAATCATTTAAGGTAAATTATCAACATGATAAAACTGCAACCCACCGGTTTAGATATCTAAAGCGTTATTGTTGTATTATTTGATCCAGGCAAGTGCAGGGTGAGGATAAATGAGATATATGGTAGGTGAGGAGTAAAACCATTTATTTATTATTTTTGTAAATGGAGAAAACCTCAAACCTGTTCATGAGGTAAACGTTGACTCCGGTCCCACAGCCCAGCTTCTTCATGAAGGGTGAGGCCGGGATGGTGACTGGGGTTCCTCCGCTGCTTACACAGCTCTTCACTCGGGCGTTTTTAGGGGTCTTGAAAGCGCCCTCGTCGATGAATGTGCCAGAGGAGGCCATTCTGTCTAAGAAAACAAATAACGTAATGTTAATTATTATGACACATGCTATAATGGCGACAGTCAGATTTACGTTGTTTTCATGGTGTTTTGAGTCAAATGACTGAATAATTTAGTCAATAAATCTGACGTTACCTGCGTTTTCTTTCACTGTCACTTCCAAATTGCTGATTCTGAAATTAAACCGCGCCGTTCAAAAGGTTACTTCCGTCTCACCAGGCTGTACGGAGTGGAGGCCGCAGAGGGACAAACTGAACGAATGTCGTTTGCGGCTGGAAATGGTAAACAGCAGATTGCTAAACCTGCACACCTGTTATATTTGTTTGAAAGGCTATGCCGAGTATAAATGTTCTACTGTGATTATAAACAGGAAATAGTGTTTATTATATTTCAACATCATTTTTAATCAGTTGCAGTTGTAATACAGCATTTCAGCAGCTGAGGTCAGTGACGTTATAAAATGATGGTATATTATGGTGGGAGGTTGCAAGTTGGTTTGCAAGTCTGCAAAAAATAGATGGGTCATTTTATAGGCTTTATATTATAACATATACTGTAGGTTTGCAAGTGGAACCACCTATATAGATAGATAGATAGATAGACAGATATACATAGATGGATAGATAGATAGACAGATATACATAGATGGATAGATAGATAGATAGATGATAGATAGATAGATAGATAGATAGACAGATATTCATAGATGGATAGATAGATAGATAGATAGATAGATAGATAGATAGATAGACATGGATGGATGGATGGGTATAGATAGATAGACAGATATACATCGATGGATGGATGGATATACGTAGATAGATAGATCCACTATTTCAATAATCAACATATCAACATTGTTCCCTAACTTCGAGGATGTCGTTTCCTTATGTTTTGCTTTTATTAATGAAAATTATGTATGCCAGGTACGTTTTGGGATTCAGTATTTAGGGATTTAGGGATTTTCTAGTTCTCGAGAACTATATGACAGTACTTTATTTGTTTGATCTTCATCACAGCATGTGTCTGTTCTCTCTTTAATGTCGGGGACTTGTCTGAAAGACTTTCACTCACTCAGACGATGAAGTTGACCCTGACCTCGACTCTCATGATCCCGTTATTGTTTCATCTCCTTCAGATATACGGCAGATGTTCCCAGCTCGGTCCTCTCATTGTATGGAGGGATAACCGTTTCATTATGAGTAAGAGGAGCAAGAATGTGGTCCGATGACAACTGGACGTGGATGGGAACTCTGGAACTATTGCTTTATTTTTCTGTTTCTCCCCATCTCTCGTTCTCCTGAGGGGACATGAGCTCATGTTTGTGGGCTCATGCTGCCACATGTTGTGGTGCATTTAATAGAATAAGGATGGGTTCCTCTCTGGTCAGACCACAGAGAAACAGTCAGAAAGAAAGAGAGGATGATGATTAATGTCACGATCCAATTAAAAACAATTACATACCCTAATGTAATGATTCAAATACAAAATTAGAGTGTGTCAACTTTTCTCATTTCCATGGATCATTCATGCAACTTGAAGAAGATTAATGCTCAATTAAGAAATTACAATAATACAACCAGATAAGATACAATCAGATGTTTTGCTCAGAACATGTATTTATAAACAACAACAAAACAACATTATATTTTCAGAATGGGTTTGAAATACATTCACGTGTAAAATATTTAACTGAACGGATTCCAGGACTTTTACGAATATGCACAAAACTATTTGGGTTTCCGAATATTAAATCTTCTTACTATGACACTGTGAAGGTATTGTATGTCTATTTTTTAGAATGTTTGGACTTCTATGTGTCATATGCTGTATGCTTGCAAATTGTTAAATAAGACGCTTACATTGTATAAATAGGACTTGTCTTCCTCTCAGCACTCAATAACTCATGTGCTTTCTCTCAAATAATCAGGATCACTACAGTTTAAAGAAAGCAAAAATTTAATTAAAAAAAGAAAATGGAGATAACAATCGCAACACAAGGTGATGATTGAAAGCCCCACGAACAGCTAAATGGGCCTTGTGGTTTTCTCAACTGCTGTTTTCAATTTCTAGAATGAACTTTGATCCTCAGTTTAAAATGTATTTTAGTAGAAAGGTTTTCAATTAAGGGACCAATTTATTAATAAAAAGAAAGGAACATCCAGTGTGACATATCAGATGAAAGCTCTGAAACGGCACATGTACAGTACAAAAAACAAAAAAACATAATTAAACCGGCAGTTAAGCAATATGTGTCACTTAATTTAGATGCAAATTGCATGTTTTTGTTAAATGAATGCTGCCTATTGTCTAAATGTTTTGCTGACACAACCAGATTCTTTGCTCACATATGAGACAGAACATGTCTTTAAAATGGCCGTATAAACAAAAAAGCACATAAAAAGGATATTTTTGAATCACAGTTGTATGTAAAAAAAACAAAACTTATAGGAATCAGGACTTTGGGGTTGTGGATACAACAGCCTCTTCTGGGAAGACTTAATTTAAAAAAGAAATAAAACCTTCTTTCTCTCCCTGGTTGTGTTTTATGCTGGTGAGAATGTGTCTTTGTTTTCGGTCATATAAAGCAAAAAAAGCCACCAAAGTCTAACCAGCGATTCTAATTGCCAAACGATGGGATGAAGAGGAGGGATGATGGACCCCCTCATAGGAAGCTGATGCTGAGGAGAAATTACAGCATCTGTTGTCTTTCTCTTCTTTCTTTGTTGTGGTCATTGTAGAAATTGGAACAGTGGTTTGGCTAATTTCATGCGTCTCATTTCTGGATGTTGTTCTCCGGGGCCTGTAGAAAACATTTTATTGTGTCATGCATTTACAATCGGAAAAAGAAATAATGTGTAGCAACACATACTCACATGAGCGGATACAGATGCTGCTATTAGTCTATTGTAACAGCGGTTGTCGAACTGGGATTGTAAGACACGCAAGGGTCCTGGAGGGTGTCCCCATGTTAAATTACTTATTACAACATAAATACACAATAGCTTACACTATAGTCAGTATAAAATTGGACTCTTGCATTGTGCATTTCTAGTATATTTACCTAAAAGTAGTGTGATGAATGTTACACTTTGTATTCACACTCAAATAAAATGATAGAAGGAATTTATAGTGCACTAAGGAGCAAATAAAGAAGAATTTTGGACACACCCAAAGATTTTATCACAATTGTAAAGCAGCTGTAATCAATATGTTTATGTTAATAATAGGTTTATGTGAAAGGTGTCGCTCGTAGAAACGAATGCACAGATAATTATGAGCCGTTTGAACATAATCTACACTACCTGCTCAACACCAAACAACAGACAGACACAGTTAGAGACTAGCTGGTGAACATGAAGAGACTACCGACCAAGCAAAACATGGACATTCCATTTTATCTATCTATATCTATCCATCTATGTATATATATCCATCTAAACCAACCATATATCCATCTACATATGTGTAAAATTGGTTCCACTTGCAAACCTACAGTATATATTTTACTTTATCAAATAAAAACTAATATGAAGTCTTACCTTCCTGGAGAATAAGTGAAACCACGTTGACCTGAGTCAAGCCAGCTTCACAGTCTTTGCTCTGACTGTCGGCCATGTGTGTCGGACATCAGGTGATTTTTCATCCAATCATTTCTACATCCACTTCACATGTGGAAACATTCATACTTGTAATTACTGTTCAGAGCTGTCAATCAAGGCACAAACATGGTGTCCACACCCACGTGCTTCAGCGCTTGGGATCATGTGTGTAACTTAAAACACACAAAGTGATGGACGGAGTATTCAGATTATTTACTGAAGTAGAAATACTAACTCCACAGTGTAAAAATACTGCATTACAAGTAAAAGTCCTGCATTCAAACCTTAATTTAGTAAAGTAAGTATTAACAGAAAAATGTGCTATCAGGAGTGCATAAAAAGTGCAAAAATGTAGTGAAGTAAAAATGATTTCCTCTGGGATGTAGTGGAGTAGAAATATAAAGCTGTATAAAATGGAAATACTCAGGGAATGTAAAAGTATTTCAAATTTGTATTTTAAGTAGGCTATAGTAATAAATGTATTTAGTTACATTCTACCACTGATCACACATCCACTCTCTTTTCACCTGTTGACTTCTTGAAAGTGCCTCTTTCCAATTAAAAACAAAGTTCACGTGTTTAAACACATCTACATTGTATTACTTCAGCAGTGCATATTCAGCAATTTAGTGGTACAAATCAACCAAACACAAAGTAAAAAAAGTGTATTTTGTAAGGTAAAGTGAAGCACTGTATCAGGTATCTTCTTGACATAATCGTGTTTGATTTAGGCATTCATTTGTGTGTGTATGTTGTGAACTCCATAGCCCTTATATGTGCTATGACCAGCACAATGTAATAAAAAAAAGACATGTGTATACGCATATGTGCTTCGAGCCATTATGCCAAAGTAAAGCATAGTAAGGTCTTTGTACAACCATGTATACATTTTAAAAAATGACACATTTAAGTGGTTAAGTGCACTTTGGAATGTGTTCTCACTTTCAGAGGGTACGGCATTAAGCTGCTTTACGTCTATAAAACCCAAGCACTGATCTGAGGTCAGCAGGGCCTGTAACTCATCAGGAAATCCCATCACAACAATCCATATTAACCAGCAAATTGTTAGTTTGAATTAGATTCATCTTTAAGAAAGCGTATTAATTCCGTATTTTAATCTAAAAACTGGACAAAGCAACTGTGTTTTTACTTTTTAAAACATAAAGTATAACCCACTGTACAGTTAATCCTACATGAATATTCCCTGCATACAAAATGCAGCATCCACTGTAGTGCACCTCCCTCCAAAAGCAGCAATGTTACACATACGTAGAGGTGTTTATTACCTCATATTTTGCCAAATAATCTGCTTCAATTTTTCACCAAAAAAAAATGCATCATCTGTTCTATATCCAGTCCCGTTTGAGCTCTTGACACTGATCGTAGAATTTAAAAAAAAAAAAAATCGGAGTCAGTGGAAATGGCACCCATCTCCAACTGATAATCTCCTAATTTATCTGTAACTAAATGGCCTAACTGAATTTTAGTGCTCAATCTAGCCATAATATGTTATACATATGCTGTTGTTGTTAGGCTGACTATTCAAAATCATAAATGTCATGGTCATGGATGCGAAAAGCTCCAGACATAAATATTTCTTAATAATATTTTGTCAATAAAGTTTGCAGTAAATACTTGACTCCGCTCACTGAGGTACAACTGTGACTCTGCCTCTAAGAAAGTTTAAGGAAGTCCGATCTGCTGGCACTTATATGATGATGAGGAGACCGACCACTACTAAAGATGATAGTCTTCTATAAAAATACTTCATTGTTCAACATTAATGAATAGCAAAGGCCTGCTGGTATCAATACTGTGGAATAAAACATGCTCAAACGTATTTTCAATCAATGATATTGTTCTTGCTTCTCTGGTTAAAAGAGGAGATGACAAATAAGCCAAAATATACTGAAGGAGCTCTGGGTGTTATCTTTGGCTGTTGCTTCAGAAAGGCAGAGCTCTAAAGTAATAACTCCTCCACGGCCAAAGTGCTGAATGTGACGCCTCTACAAGATGAATGAGGGTCATCAGGACGAGACATAAAAACCTGGCTTCCACTCAGTCGTGCTGTCAGCTACACTGTCTGTGTGTGTGTGAGTGTGTTTTACAGTACGTCACTCAATCATGCAAACATTAGTTGGTAAGTATTCAACTCTATAACCTAGTAACTTTGTAATTTCACTCCTTTTCAGTATAAACCACCTTGTGGAGTACAGAAAAAATAAACTACTAGAGATAAAAGTGTAATTTGCGAGCTGGAAAACAACAAAGCAAAGAACTCTGTACAGATGTACTGTTAGTAATAATTCTCTGGTTATAAATGTAAAAATATTGATTAGAGGAGATTTTTAAAAATAACCAAAAAACGGTATAACGGTAGTAATGCACATAGAAACGAAGCACAATGCCAACAAAGCCAAGGAAGAAGAAGACTGCTAGCTAGCAAACATGGACATAAACAATGCGTGATTGAAAATATTACAACAAATTGGCTGAGCAAAGGTTTTACGAGGAAGGAAATGCACTCCACATTTGTCAGACCTCAAGGATACACACAATGTGCTTTGGTGAGTAACACTGAATGCAAACAGAACTTTTGTTTGTGTACATAAAACTCCACAGGCCACCTTAAAAAGCAGCTAAAAAAGGTGAAATTGTAGCCCAATTTTAGTCCAGTTTTTGACCTGCTAATCATCAAATGATTGCTTCATAGGTAATGCTATATGATGTATAGTAAGGCAACACTGTATGTGTATCATCACTCAAAAGCCAATACTACATAATACTGTGAAGAGCAGCAGCCTGTAAATGAAGAATCAGTTTGTCAATGTCTGAGTCAGTTTCTTTATGTGCCGTTTCAGAAACTTGAAAGACGAACGAAGACTCTGGGAGGGTGAAGATGTTGGATTAGCTTCTAATCCACACCGGAGGTCAAAACAGCAAACCTGCACCCAGACGAGCCTCTGAGGGCAGATGGAGCCTTTGCAAGCTGACCTTCGGCCTTCACTGGAGACAGGTGAGCCCCGTAATTCAGTCTGATGAAGAGTCCTGTCGCGCCGTCATCCCCAGATCATGTGGTTGCTCAAAGATGCTCAAAAATGTTAGCCTTTTCCTTGCTCCCATGATTCAGTCTTGTAGCTAAAACAATCAAATGTTAAATCATGAACTTCTAAGAAAGCTGCAGATTCATGCCCAACATGGAAGTTTGTCACTTTTCTTGCAGGTAAAAAACAACATACTGCTAATGTGACACCCCTGCCGATGGGAGGACGGTGTGCGCCTTGTAGCTTCTTGAAAGTTGAAGGCACTGTTTGAGGAGACGCGTGGCCGCTGCAGCGGTGTCAGGATCGTGAGGGTTTCAGACGATGCACGTCACACCAGCATCCTCCACGTGGCCACAGTTGGTTTTGCCCCAGCCAGAAAACTTACACTGGTGGATGGTGTCTTCGGTCCCCTCACACGCCACGTCATCCATCCAGATCAGACCAGTACCTGCATAGAAAGGAGGAAAGAATGTATACATCGTAGTGCACGAACTGGCCAATTTGTTTAACTCACAGTGAAAAGTTGCAGAGACTTAAGGTGGATGCTGGGGTGGCGGTGACAAGGAGAGCTGGGCATTTCTCACATTAACCTTATATTAACCACACAAATTGAAAAAGCGTGTTCGTCGTGCTGCATAGAATCCCAGCATATCTCGTGTGGCTGTAACAGTGCAGCTCGAGTTGACTGCCTGTACTGGTTTGGAGGCTTCACTCGATTATGCTGAGCCTTTTGTCTTGTTTTTGTTTAGTTTCTTGATTTCTTTCCATCTCCTTTGCTTTGTTTTTCCTGTCTGGCCTGTTTTGTTCAACAACTCTGCCATTTGTAAAGTAAAAAACCCCAAAAAATAATCAAAAACATCCAAAAATCCCAAGGGTGTAATTTTGGTTTTAGATGTGGGGGATAAAGAATGGAGAAGAACTCTGTCTGCAGGGTTTTCCTTTCAGGAAGCCCCCAACAACCAATGTTGGTATCTTCATCTTCGTTTTAAACACAGCACAGCTCTTTTCATTTTACAACAGATACATTTACATCTTTTCTAATCTTGGCTATTGTTTTTTTCTTTTATCTACAACTATGTTCATTGTAATCATTAAGCTTCTTTCCTTCCTTCTATGTGAAAATCTACTTGGCAGAAGTTAACATAAATTTACATCCGCTTACATATAATGTTGTTCATACTGATAGCATTCCTAAAATGTGTGTATATTTCAGCAGGAAAAGACACACGGACAACCCGAAAACATACCGTTACATTAAAAAAAAAAAAAAAAAAAAAATCGCATCTGGACTTCGATATTAGCGGTCCAAGTTCAGTGACGTCTGCGATGGCTCATTCGTGCAAATATGATGCAACTGCAGCCAACGAGAGGGAACATGTTGGCTGCAGGAGTTTCCCACATTGTAACCACAGCAACAAAGCTGCATTGTAGCATCTATACTCAGCTTGTGTTCTTCTTCTCTTCTCACATTTTAAGAGCTAGTTGTAAATTCTTGGGTTTGTAAAAACCTTGTTTGGTGCAGTCATTTCTCAGACAGAAAAATGATTCTTCACTCGTTGCTCTGCTATTTAGCAAAAGGTTTCGCGGTTATATTCTTATAACCGTGAAACCTTTTAAAGGTTTTAAAGGCAAGTGTTATTAGATGCAGAGACATATCTCAGAGACAGTTGTCATCCTTGTGTGTGTATACAAGTCTTTGGATCGAGACAGCAAGTACTCCTCACAGAATTGTTGATCAGATAATATTGTATCCGGTAATAAAATACACAGTTCCAGCTGGTAAGCAGAGCTTTTGGCCGTATTGTTTCCCTATAAAACCTTGGTTCCTGTTTGTAGAACTGGAACTCACTGGAGGGTTTATGGAAAGTCCCTTCAGTTCTGCAAAACATCTTTCGAGGCTCGGAGGAGATGGTGCTCAGAGTGCTGATAATGCAGTTTGAGGACACATGACTAAAAGGATAAGGTAGGTGAGAAGAGAGGCCGACTCATCAGTAATGCCCTGAAAGCAACATCTGGAGTCTTGTAACCGTCAACTCTGCTGCTCTGCTCTATGTCACAACTGTTTATCACTCGGGCTGTACTGAGCTCTCAGTGAGGGATTCAAACTAATTGTAGTGCTCAGAAAAAATGAGAGAGAAGTGAAACATACAATGTAAAAAACACGATGTTGGCTAAGTCACGGACGAGGAAGATAAAAAGCACAAAATCAAAATTCACATAAACAAAGAAGTATAATTAAAAGCACTAGTTTAGCTTCAGGCAATCTGGTTCATGAACTTGAATAATTCAAACCTATTAGTCTTCCACTTCCATTATTTCCTCCTATAACTGGCAAAAAGTTCAAGGCACAGTCAAGATCATCACAACTTAAGAGTAATATGAATTATCACCCAATAAGGGCCATGTGAAAAATGATTACTGTTACTGTGGAACAGTAAACTGAGACAATCTTCTAAATTATTTTGTCTTATGTCTGACTTTATTATGTAACCGTGAAAAACAAAACACAGACCAAGAGGTTGCAAAATTCAATGTGGAATTAATGCCTATTTAATGTGTAAACTGTGCGGTTTTTTTAGGCTCTCTTGTATTTGTATACAGTGTTTATTCTTATGTACAGGTCTCATAAAAAGATCAAGAACATGAAAATAAGAGATGTGATTTAAAATCCAACACATAAACTATCAACAGATTAGCAAAGAGAATCTCTGTTGGCTTTAACTTTAAGGTGTAAATGTGTGTCATTACATGGCTTTTATGCCCATATCACTGCAATTCAAATGAATGAAAATCATATCACTACAACACCCTGCTCCATATGTTGTTTGAAAAGCCTGGAAGATAAATCAATCCAAAAATTGTCTCGACAAGCTCGAGTGTCTGTTGTGAAAGACTGATAATATAATTCAAAAGATAATTCACTGCACTAATAAGTCAAACTGTGTATTTCTTTCTGCACCACATTGACCCCATGCAGACATATCAGAGATGTTTCATGCAAAAAGAGAAATGTTTTGACTGTTCAGACAGCTCGTCCTTCCACTTAAATTGTGTTGTTACAGTAAGTCTTTGTTACACTAAAGTCTTAGTCAGTTGCAAAAACACATTCAGCTCTGGTGCCACATTGAGCGGATACTTGATTGCATTTGTGTTATTGTGCTTGAAAGACTGACTGTATATGTTCCCTAAAAATGCTAACAAGTAAGGAACGGATATATTTCCAGTTCTGCCAGTTTCAACTTGTCCTGTTTGTGCTTTTAACCGCATTAGAGTTCAAAGAAAGAAGAAAACGTGGACACATAATCTGCCTGGTGAAACCACGACTAACAAAATGTAAGTTGAATCGAGTCAATTCTATTTACATAGACCAAAATCCCAAATCTAAAATGTGCTTTGAAGGGATTTACAATATGTACAACACATGGCACTCTCTATCCTTAGACCCTCAATCTAATCAAGAACAAAATAAACAAAAATGAAATAAAAGCTCTTCCAGGACAAGGAGATGTAAATTATTTCTTTTGTACACAAACAATTTCTGTAAAATCTGATCAAAATGTTGCATTTAAAGGCTCATTTCTGCAAATAAACAGCAAATATCGACAGCTCAGTCAACCCATATTCTTCCAGCATTCTTTGCTTCACAACTAAACATAACAGAAGAGAAACTGGCTGTAGATTTGACATCTTCAAAGCAGCAGGAAGCAGCAGGCGCACGTGTCTCCATGAAGGCATGCACAGGATGGAAATGAGGTATGCACTGGGGAGAACATGAGCCCCAGCTGTTCAGCCGCTGTGCCTTCTCAGGGTTTGCTTTAATGGACATGGACCTGTAAACTGTTTATTCTGGATCTCAACACACTTTTACTGCACTGTCTGCAGGCCGGGGGGTCAGGCCGCTCTCACCAAACTTATGACACTTCTCACAAATAAGTGTTGAATCCCCAAAAACATCCATCTGTTTGAGGTTTTAAAGGAACACCTGCAGGCATGATTTATAAGAGTCACTCAATTTTACAATGATTGGAAAGATTAAAAGGCTGTTTGAATAAATGTGCAAAAACAAAAGAAAACAACCCTAGAAGTCCTGGACTTTGTTTAAGAGCAATTTTTCTAACCTCCGCAAGTCGCTCTCCTTGATTGCTGTTGATCTTGATTGATCTTCTGTTTCTCGTCATGGGAGCTAGAAACCACTGTTCACTGATGCAAAGAAAGCAACTATTCTTCATACATGTTTACAGTCTATCCATAATTGTGTCATCTTGATGTGTATATTGTAATTTTACTATGTTGGTTTATTCTGTACACACACAATCTATTGGTTTGTATTGGTTTCTGATTTCTTTCCGTTTTTACAATAAAGTTTCTGTGTGTTTTGTTTTCTTGCATTAATCGAGGGTCAAAGGACAGAGGTGTTATAAACTGTACAGATCGTAAAAACCCCATAAAGCAAATTTGTGATTTGTGATACTGTGGCTAATTAAATAAACAAAACAAAAGAAGATGAAACATCATCTCAAGCGACCCCAAAAAATCATAATTACATGGTTAAGATTCAAATTTTGTATCACACAATCTTCCTCAGCAGACGAAGTTAGCCTGTGTCGTCATCAAATATATTGTCAATTTTCAAATTGACATTTTTTCTGAGCAATTCAAGGACTTTCCATTCATGTTGGCTTCAAAGTAGGATGTAAAAATCATTACAGTAGTTGACAAAACAATCTCACCACAAAATAAAAACATTGAACATCTAGGAACGATTGTGTGATACTGTCAAAAAGCTCCAAAGAAGCTACTAAATAGAGCTTTAAAAGTGACCACTTTCCACATATATGATCCCATATGTTTAAATGTCATGCTTCATATATTATTAAAAAGCACAGACAGGATTGCCAGATATCTGAGGCATCGTTGTATGATTTAGTTTACTTAAAACACAAGAATAACAATTTGTGCTTGTTTGCTTTTTTTGGTTTCTTTTGGCTATAAGTGAGATTATAAATACACTCTCTCTTGCATCTCTGGTGGACTGGTGAGGGATCTTATATGCATTGCAATCATTTGAAATGTTTCTATTATTTAGTTTGGGTATTTATTATTGCAATCCTGATTCTTTTTATTTGCCTCATGGGGCGACTGGAGCTCAGTTTGTACAGCAGCTCTGCCATTAATAGCATTGTCGGTGTCTTGAACCCCAAATTGCTTCCAAAGTTGCTTTTGATCAATGTGTCTGCCAAATGAACTAATGGCATGTACAAATAAATATTTCATAGAAAATTTAATTTAATTTATCCAACAGTTAGAGGCCAATCTGTGTCTAAGAAATAACGTTAAAGCCTTAAAAGATGCTCTGATTATAAAAAGTTAAAGGTGATTGTCTCATCTGAAAAGATGTATTTGAATTGCAGATAGTTTAAAATTGGATCCAGCCGTGATGTTAGTCACTGCTGTGGAGGTTGTCCCCCGGATCAAACGCATGTTTTGCCCCAATTTTCCAGACTTATTGGTAACAACTCTGCAGAGACTCGGAATGATGTAAGGCCGACTTGGTGAATGAAATAAAATGGAGAGGGAGAGACAGACAGAGACAAAGAGCGAGAAAGCGAGAGAGATGGATATGACCCCTGAGACTCTTTCTTGACGACATCTGGCTCGCAAAACTTTCCCCATAAAACCTTAATATTAATCCCTGCAGCATTTTAGGGCATTGTTACTGTAGGTAAAACCAGGCAACAGCAAAATAATAAAAAAATGCAGAGTTCGTAAAAAATCAGAACTACTGCCATCAGTAAACTTCATCATGGATACGTGCTATGGGCAATTTCTTTTTTAATTATTTCCTGTCTCGATTGAGATTTTCTTTATTCCATAAAATGACCATGACTCATAAAGAATGAGCTTAAAGGGAGAGTACCTTCAAACTAATAATCAAAATATCCTCTATTCTTACTTGCCTTACTGTAGTTAATACTGGTGTTTACTTTTAATACAGCTGATGCATTCACTAAATCTGTGTTTTTTGATGAACTACTTAGCATCCAGAGACCGTTTGGTTTCTGCTTCTATCTACAGAAACTTCCCTGAGATAGAAGTTTGCAGACGACATCTTTTTCTTGTAGGCATGTACAGTCTTGAGGTCATAAAGTTTGGGCAGTGCATCGCAGACATCTTTGCAGACATGAGCAGTATAAAATGTATGTTTCATGGACTCTCATGGATCCTTGCAACTATGCAGACATGTAATGCCTTAATGCAAATGTAAGAAGGGGCAGTTGTTTTCCCAAACAGCACTTTTTACTGAAAGAATTAACAAAATTAACATATTTGTGATGTTTAAACTGAAAACAAACGAAAAGAAAGAGCAGACAATCACTACCCTCACTTCGATTTACATTTTGTGCATGGAAAAATACTATATAAATACAGTTTGATATTATTACATTATGTTTATTCAATGCCCGTGCTTGCATACTGTTTATCTTGAGGGTTTGAGTTTGGACTCCGCATGAATGAGTCACATGTTGGATGATGAGGCTGAATGGTAAATAGACTACATACAGTACACTGGACAGTTTATCAGCTGTTGCTGGACAGCTAACTAAGCTAATGTTAGCTTTGTGAGTTAGGTGAATAGAATAAACTAGATTCCTCTCTGAGGCGGTTCAAATACACACTTGATGGCAGGAAAACAACAGCTTGTATATGTTTGAGTGTCGGCCATCGCATACCGTGTCCGAAGCGTCCGGTCTTATGGACCTCAGCGACTCCTCGGTATCCCAGCATCGTGCACACCACGTCCCCATCTTTTTTGTCCCAGACGTCGTCACACACCGTCCCCCAGCGCCGTTCATGGAAAACCTCTACACGACCTTCGTGAGGGCCTGACCCGTTCACCAGCCGCACCAGGGTCTCGTCCACTGCAACACACACAAGCCTACATTAACATTAACATAAGGATCTGTATGCAATGTGAAGTTTTGCAATATGTATGCAAATACACATGAACTAGCATTTAAATACACATTTGCTTCTACGGTCAAATGTGTTCGTAGGCAGTTTATTGGATCCTTCAAGCGATAAAAGGTTTGTAGCAAACAGCATCATGCTCCTTAGTGTGCAGAAAATGAAGTCTTTATTATTTATTCCAACACAACTATATTTAAAGAACACATGACTCTCTTCATCCGGCACTTGTTGGCATGACTTTGAACTCAAAGTCAAGATATTTTCATTGCGAGTTGAATGAATCCTTCAAATCAAACCAATATGACAACAAGCGGAGATGAAGGTTGTTTCCAACATGCTGCAGCAGAAGTTTTTTTTATCCAGAAACCACATAAATAGTCTTTGATTCAAAAAGTAAAATGAATAAAATGATTCCCATGTGAAGTCACTTTTTTCTTTCTTCCTGTTATGTAAAAAGTTGGGGGTTATAGAATTTGGAACTGGACGTTCCGTCCAAAAATGTATTTTTTCTGCGATTGCTGACCATCATCTGAACATAATGATCTATAGTCTGGCAATAATCACTGGAGTTTGACAGAGTACCGTATGAAGGATTTTCAAATCCACAACTTCGGTCTTTGAAACTTCATGCATCTGTAAACAAACAAAGTAAACAAAACTCCAGCAAGCCTCTAGTCCCAGTTACGAAATAGTCGTAGATGCAGAACTTCTTTTCTTTTCTCCACTTTTTGTTTTGGTCCATGAAACAAGATATTACATGTTTTTGGTGAAGTCGTAGCTCCATATTTACTCAGCAAACACTAGAGTGGCATTCATCTTCTCATCGCACTCTCTGTAAGAAAAGGAATACGATTATTTCCCACATTGCAGAACTATTTCTCTAAATAAGTAGATACACTTAACCCCAAAATTGCTCCCGTAGCTGTGCCTACGGTGAATGTGATAGAATCTGAATTGTAAGTCGCTTTGGATAAAAGTGTCTGCTAATGTAATGTCATACACATTTGACAAATACCTGATTTTTAACACAATATATATCAGGGTATTAAAAAAACTAATAAAAATTCAGGGTTGGAGTGCCTTGCTCAACAACTTGCATAGAGGAACGTATAACATTATAAACACATTGAAGTGTGTGTGTGTGTGTGTGTGTGTGTGTGTGTGTGTGTGTGTGTGTGTGTGTGTGTTTACCTTTCTTTCTCATTTTCTCTCTGCGCTCTCAAAGGTGATAAATCAAGTCAATTATACGGCATAGTTTTAGGAATACGAGATGTACATTGGATCAATAAAGCCTCAGCTAACACAAACACACTCACTCACACACACTATCCTCTGTGTTAAGTCATGCTCACTGACCGAGACTGTTGACAAAGTGCTGGAGAGTAAACCCAGACACATTATCTGGACAGGATATTAGTCTCATCAGACCATCATAAATTCTAACTGTGTACCATTTAACTCTGATTAGACAGTCAAGTAGTTTGCACCCACTAGCCCATCATAATTTAATACCTACCATAACATCACACAATCATATCTGCTGCGCATATTTGTATCACATTCTTGCAGAAAATCAGCAAATTGAAACCAGAAATTAGGTGTACTTTCAACCTCCTGTTGCTCTTTTTTCCTCGACAGACCCAAAGTGACTGAAAGAGCGGAAAGCAACGAGTGCTAGAATAGCACATATTAGTTTTCAACAAAGAATGAGTAATTGAGTACTCAATTACCTGAAACAGATGTCGAAACTATTTGTTCACTCGTCAAACACAAAACAGTCCCTCTTTTCTAAATTCCTATTAAGTTGGGTAAAACCTGGAAGACTCTTCTCTGGCATGAAGATGAAGAAGTATCACAGTTATTGATACGTTTTATGATGGTTATACTCTTGAACAGGATACTTTCCTTTTAAATGTCATTAAATCAACCACCAGACAGAAATCTGCTCCAATGGCAGCAGAAAAAAAACTTTTTTTCACACACGTGATGCACATTTTTTTGCTAATGGTAATTTATAGCTTTGGTGGTGTAGATTTACCCTCAATTATAGTCTTCTAGTCACTGAGAAACACAATTAAATTAGCTGCCTTTTATCTTTTTTTTGGTTCAGGAGGAATGGGATACAGACAAACACAGTATAGTTATTTTTATTATCAGCTGAATTGATTGAATTAGTGTTAATATTGGATTTTATTTAGATTGCAGCTAATTTTTTACACTTCTTTGGAAGGAAGGAGGTATCTTAAAGATCAGAAATCAACAAAACCACTTTCCCTGACTTACTCTACTCATCTTTTCCAGAGAGTCTGGGAAGAAGATGAGGAGGAAGAGGAACAAGAGGAAAGGTTCTGAGTGGACGCAGCACATTGTTAACAAGATAGTTATGTTTTCTAAACACAACTGGTTATCATAAAAAAAAATCAACATGTCAAAACCACAAATTTCACTTTTGGATTAAAATAATAAGACTTTAATTTACAACTAAGACCTTAAGTTTATGTAGTTAATGACTTTTACTGAGTCATAAAGCTTGTGCACAATAACGCGTGGGAGAGTGAAGTTAGCAATCCAAACAAATACTTCTTCAAGTAATAATGCATAAAAAGAATCAAGAACCCTGGTGTCTAACTTATCCTGCCTCTTTACAGTCGGACAGCTCTCATGTTGACTTTAGACAGCCAACAAAGTGGTTCACCATGAACTCACTAATTTGGACAACAAGCCTGTTGTTCCTGTGCATGAGATATAATGACCAGGGAAAATTTAGACCAGCCAGCTCCAAGTGTTGAGGGTCGTCCAAGCGGTTCAAGCCTCAGAGGCCGGGGGGAGCTACAGCACCAGACTGTCGATACCTGAAGAAGGCCAGAACAGGGAGTGATCGCCTATTACTAATGTCTATCTGGCAGGCAGGAAGGGTCTGCACGGAGCAGGACTGAATGGCTTCAGGACAACAGTTAACCAGCTACAGCTGTTCAGAATATGTCCTTCTTATTGTTGTCTTTCACAATGTTAGCTCTTCTAGTGTCTTTTACGTTTTCTTCTCTTTACTCCTCTTCCTGTTTCGCAACATTTGTTTGCTTCTGATTAGATTTTCTTGGCCAGTCTTGCACTCTCACAACTTAGCGTACCATACAAGCACATTTTAAAAAACAGTGTGTGCCTCTCATGTGGTCTTTGTTTTACATTCTAAAGTATTAGTTTGTCATTTTTGGAAATACCCTGCTTTACTTTTCAGCCAAGTGAAAGGTTATAATGTATTTAAAAGTACTTAATCTCTGAGTTTCTTCACAATTTATTCTCAAAAGTTTGAGAGGCTCCTAATGGATTTGCAATGGATGCAACGATATGTGATACTTGATGCAGCATGACTTTTAAAAGAAGCGATGACTATAATAGTGTTTATCAATGAGGTGCCTTTGACCTGAATACTACTGTGATATGTTAAATGGAATGGTTTGACGATTTGAGAAAAATGCTTTACCTTCTTGCTGAGAATTAGATGAAAAGATTGATACCACTCTCATATCTGTTTGGTAAATATAAGGCTTCAGCCAGAAACCGGTTAGCCTAGCTTAGCATAAAGACTAAGAGTTAGCCTGGCTCTATCCGCTGACAAAAGCAGCCTGAAAACACCACTAAAGCTCACTCAAATGAAGATCATGTAGAAGACGATGAAAGTGGGGCTGGGTATCGCCACAGATTTCCCAATTATATTAAGTATCGATTCAATTATGGATATTTCAGTTACAATACAATTATTTTATTGTTGAGTTGTGGTATTTCCACAATATTTCACTTCAATTTGGCACATCTTTTGTCCAGCTTTTCTCTGTCTTCATAGCTTTGAAGCATAAATTGCAACCAGACATTTGCCTTTAATCTTGGCGGTGACTCCCGTTGTAGCAACTGTAGCAACTGAGGTTCGCTATAGTCTTGCACATTGCCAGATCTCGCAGCAATAATCAGAACCAGAAGCTCGCCGAGCAGGACCAACAGGTTTAAAGGTTGAAACGATATTGGATCATTCAAATGGATATCGATTTGAATATTTTAAACACAGCCGTAGATGAATCTGATTCTGCAGATAAAATTAAAAATGACAAATTAAAGACTGACCTCACTGTTTTAAAGTGTTCTCAGCATCAGTATTTCTGCATGTGTGTTTGGTTAGCTGTGGTTGCAAATTAGAAATGAATAAAATTAGAACACTGTGGGGGAACCGGGTCGTTCTCTTCCTGCAAACAGATAATTGAATGCAGAAAATAAAGAGGACATAATAATACCTGGAGAACTGAAGAGTAGAAGATAAACATGTATTGACTAATCTCTGATAATGGTCCTCGGTACTGATGTTGGAGGGTGACACTAAGGAGAGCGTTTAGCTTGATGTCAAATAGAAATAATAACACCGTGTTTTCATGAGTCCCAAGCAGAAATCATTTATGTCTGGATCCCTGTAGCTGCACAGGTCCATTGTAAAAACAGCCTGTCAAGAGATGGACCCTTGAGATCAAACTGCAAGCTGAAGGTAAGAGCTGTGTATGCGTGTGTGGTTGTGTGTGTACGCATCACTTCCAATTACTCTTGTAATACATCAACTGTCAAGAGAAAATTACACAAAATGCCCCAAAAATTAAAAATTTGGTGTTTTGTTACAAGTTACATACACATAGGAAAACGTCTTTGAGGAATTATAATAGGGAAATTGTTGGACTTTAGCCTCAACTAATGTCAGACGTATTTCATGGCATACCCTAAAAATGTAAACTAAGTGATACAGAACAGTTCATGATATTCTTATCCCTTTCTGCAGGAAACCATTGAAAGATTCACAACTTTGCGAATGGATTCAAGTGTGTATATCTGCACTAACATAAGCCACCATCTTTAGCAAGTCCAGCTAAGTAGCTTACACCTACAGTGGTACATCCAGGCCACCTTAGGTGTATTAGTTTGAGGGGGTACAGGTTTCCTCACTTTGTTGATACTTTATTAGGCTAATGTTAGTGGCTCTGTCCTGCTCTATAGATGTATTGTATGCTTCTTGAGACGCAGCACATGCTGTCTTTTTTCTTGCGGTCAAGGTTCAGCAAGAGCTGAAGATTATGATCCTTTTGGTGACATAACGTCCTGTATGGCAGGTTCATATTGTGTCAACAGCCAACATGTGTGGATGAACGTCCTTTGTCCCACAGACAAACCTTCAATGGTTTTGGGTCACTCGTTCTGGTAAGTGATCGTATGCAGTGCGTATGCTTTGAAGTGTAAAAAGATCTGAGTCATGCATCAAACGATAAGTCAGCCACATGAGGTTTGTGACAAGAACAGTGAGGCTGTGATTGGATATTTCTGACAGCCAGCAGCATGTGGTGTCAGTCTGCCTTTCTTTCTCTGAAACCTCAAAGATTGGTGTCTTGTAAATGAAGTGAGGAAAGAATTCATCTTTGACGTTTCTTTAACGGGCAGAAAAAGCGTATTCAGATGGGCGGGGGTTCATGTCTATTTGACGGGAACTCCACCACATCGCTCATCGCATGGAGAAAAAAAAAACACACTGATGTAGAAGGTAGAACAACATTTGTGGCAAATAAAAGAGAAATGTCTGTGGTTTTGCGGGTCATTAATGTTTTGTTTTCTTTCTACCAGGTTGGTGGTTTTGTAAGAGGTTCTAGCTCACTCTCACAGGACGTACATATATACTATGTATAATGGTTTTCAAGTCCTTTTGATGTACACTAAGCCATGTGGTTCTTCATCGAGTGTCGGAAACCGTGAGATTACGGTGAAAAGAAAAGCAGATCCTTTAAACTTCCCACAGCTCTTTGCTGTGGGAAGTTTAAAGGATATCAGGTGTGGCAGAGATCTGTGAGGCCCATAAAGTCATCAGCTCGTAAATTTCTGAACTTCTTTTGCCAATTTTGGATTATGTACACTGATATACGTGCTTGTATTACAGCAGTGTTTCATTACTGCGTGGCCGTTAAGGGTAGAATATTTATATCATTTATCAACAGTGTTTATTTGATTATTCTTGTTTTTTATATTTTCCAGACATTTTTTGTAAAATCAACGTTTTAAAAATGTTTAAATCTCCATCCTAAAATTTGGAATCTCTTGTTGAATGAACATATTTTAAATGCAGTCAGTTAACAATGTCTGTAAATGTAGCTAGCTTCTCTTATGTTTGTGCCTCTCATGTATTGCCACTACTGTACATTTCAGTCAAAGAGATTCAGCATCCAGTGTTACAATAAAATCGTTAGTCAAAATGTTTTGGGAGAACCAAGAGGGTTCAAAGACTCTTAACCATCTGCATACCATCCAACATATCTCATTCCTTAATTTGAACAACATGAACCAAAATGTAATCATGTATTGTCTGTTATATTGGTATATATTGATCTTTCTTTCTGATATTTTACATTTTCAAAACAACATATGATAACTGGTGATAACTGAGAAATGGGTTAAAAATATTTCTTACTGTGCACCAACTGGAATTCTCTTTTCATCCAGATGTTTAGAAGAGTCTTTGAGGATTGGCTATGTGTTGATCAATGATCGCCAGGTATACGATTTTATTTTAGGTCAATTAGATGCTTATAATTGTGACTCTAACATAATGTTTAGTACACAAGAGGCATACATTGAAGCTACCACTCCACCACTACAGAAATTTAGCAGATGTCTGAAATAGTTAAGATGTAGATTAAACAGAGTAGTACGATCTGATGTTGCTGTTGTTTACATGAAGATACGATAACTTATAATGCATCCTAACGGCTCAGGGTAATGCTTTCTGCAATAAACATATTATACATTTATCTGTTTATGTCTCATATTTCTTTGCAGTATCTGATCACAATGTTCTGCTGCGACAAAATTGAGAATAAAAACTTTTCTAATGATGTTCACATACAAATATTTTAGTGGGAGAAGAAGAATATAAAAGAATATAAAACAGTGTCACTGGAATTGAAACATTGTAACATAAGCTGGTACAACTTGGTTTTTCCGCAAAAGAGTCTATAAAACACTTCATTTTAGTGTTGAATCCTTTAGCAGACCATGTTCTCTTTACTGTTGAACCACATTGGATTAACTGCCTCTGTACTAGTCTGTCTGCAAGCAGCACATTGATGAAGTCACACAAAAAAAAGAGAGAATTGGAGTTCCTTAAGTCTCTGGTAATCTAAGTCCAGGGACTACTTTTCAAGGAACTAAAAGGTTCCTTCAGCCCATTGTTGTCTGCGTTTCAATTGAGACCTAAAAATCTGGAGACTGAGGGGGGCTGCTGGTGGTCACAGGGGTAAACACACTTTTGAATCTAACAGTAGTGAGAGCGAAATTAACTTTTTACTTATTCTAATTTAAATATTTGTATATATGTGTTTGTAGCACGAAGAAGCTACAAGTAACATTTGATTGTGCAAACCCGTGTTTTACAATGACAAACAAATTAACCTTGAACTAGAATTGTATAAAAGTGACATTAAACTATTCCTCATTTATGCTGGGGACCCTGAAAGATCCCTTCAAGGACCCTGGAAGATCCCAAACCCAGGTGATTGGTTGAAAAGTTACTCAAAAGCAATGTTCATACATTAGTTTGAGCAGTTACATTACTCTATTTTATTTGTTCAAACAGGTGGAACAAGGACAATCTGACCTCACAATGATCTCATGACATTGCCAGAATCCAGCTGTCATGCAATGTATGACATATATTATTAACCAGGACAGACTGGGGAGGAACAAGCACTATACAACCTTATGTTTGCCTGAGAAGGACCTCTCCGGCTGTGCAAATTCGGACTATTGTCTCTCTAAAAGGCAGGAAGTTAAGAGACATGATGGTATGTCGTCCCAAAACATCATCGGGAGGAGGTTAGGTCAGCAAAGCGTGTGATTTGGACATGGGCGACTGTTCCTTTAAAGTGTTCCTTAAACCAAGTAGATTCAATTACCAAAGCAGAGTCATATTAATTGCTTGATATACAGGTTTAACTGTGCAGTCATCATACACATTTTGGAGGGCACAAACAAAGATGTTGTCCTGCCGATATCGGTACAATAACAGAAAACATCCATTAGCTGTTTGTCACTTCTTTCTTCACACCTTTACACTGTTAACCCACATATCAGCTCTTACCCGTTTTCTCCCCTTGATCCCCTTTCTCCCCCTTCGAACCTCTTTCTCCTCTGTCACCTGAGGACAAACAGAAAAACAAACAGGAAATCATACAGACTTTACAGGACAAGACATAAAATCTGAGCTGGTAAAACAGAACTCTCAATCTTGGACAAACATTAAACTTGACCTTTACTTTGTAGATGCCGACTGTTTCTCGACTCTTCACAATCTAATTGGACTTGTGAGAGCAAATGTTCTTGCATCATGCTTTAGTTTCGTTTAGCTTTAGTTTTAGTTAGAAATAGGGGGCAGCATTTCACCTCTTCTACAATCTAAATATACAGTCATCAGTTGTAAAAAAAGCCAACTAACAGCAGGGCAAGAACATACAACATTCAACCAAACTGCCAAGAGCATGTCAGAGTTACACTGCTATTTTATAATCTTCAAGTATAGCGTCAGCGTATCGTTCCGTTAGCCATCTGTGCGTTTGTGCCACTAACCGGGGCTGTATGGTCAGTGTATACTTTGTTTGTTTATTGGATTAAATTCCAAGTGGCAGAAACGAGTAAACAACCCGCACCTTCGTCCCGTGACAGTCCTCCCCCCGATCAGGAGACCACCCCGCCAGAGGAGTGCGGTCGGCACTAAGAAGCTCTGGGAGACAGACACCCAGTCAGCAGCCGAAGCAACTCGAATTCACCCAGCACAAACCCCAGCGCCGAGAGGCACAGTGGGCTGGTGGGGCACTGTGTAACGGCAGCAACAGAAAGTTTGCTCATCCTGCGAGGAGTCGGGGTAGTCCCCCCAGGTTCAGAACCCCGGTTCTGGGGTTTACACTGGCTGAATTTGAGCTAACTGCTAACTGGGGGTACGTCTCCAGGAGCTAGGGTTAGGATTAGGCCGCATTCACTACTCGGAAACAGCTTCCGAGCGGCGGCGAGGACAAGGGAAAGGTGTGAGTCGTTTTCTAGTTTCTGCCACTTTGGTTTCTGCCACCATTCCAATAAAGATATTATATTATACAACACACAACTCACACACAGTGACTCACTATCACCTCTCCAGGTACAAATGGTTTCACAAGACAGGACGTGCCAGGGCTAGTTGGTTAGCATGCTCATTTCAGTAGATTTCTCTGAAACACAAATCCATAGACGTCTTTGACGTAACGTCAACACTATCACGACTGAAATTCTGTTGATGTTAGTACATTTTTTATGTTTTAAACAAAAATTGTGGCCAGATCTCACACATTGGACCTTTCATGAAAGAATACCAACAATGGTCGACCTATTCATCAGTTGAACCCGACACTCATAACCAAAACCAATGATGTGTACCTTCTACAGACAGTGGCAAACACAACATAGCACACATGGGGGAAGAAATGTGAAACAAGACAGAAACAGCTTAACGGTTTAGATTAAAAAAAACCTTTCCTCCACCTCATACCAATTTCCTCTCCTTTGTATATTTTTTTTGCAAAAGCCTCAAAAAGAAATTCTGCCCTGTAATCTTGCCTTGTGATATAATCATGAAATGTGAAAAATTAGAGGACACCAGGCCTCCGTCCGGTTCTTAATTTACCTCTCAAAGTTGTGGTTAAATGTTGTTTTTATGTGAGGTGAATGAGTTCGAAATAGAGGAAGCAGAAAAAGAGTGGACAGACGTAGAGCTGAAATAAAGGTACCAGTGTCAAGATCATTTCTTGGAGCGTCTTTACAGTGTAGATGTTTGAATGTTGAAAAACAGCTCAATCAATGTGAGGAGAAAATCCTCTCATTTGTGGTTTCTGCAAAATGACAGTATGTTCAAGCACGACACCTCCCTCCAATCATCATCTTGGATACATCTGTTTCTCATTTGTTTTCGTTTCAAAATATGATTCGATTTCAAACTTGGGGAATAACCTCCAAAGCAGGAGAGAGAGAGTCTGTTTCAGTGCCATTCGTTGCTAATTTTCAGCCATGAGGTTTGAAACCACAAGTCTGTTTTTGCCATGAAGCTATAAGAGGATCAGCTTCAAGTCGGCATTTATCCCACCCTTAATTTGAATCCTTATTTCACATCCCAGACCACAGGGGCAGCTGCCAGGCGAGGTGACACTCTGTCCCATGTGTTACTGTATGTGTGTCTCCATGTCTGAGTAGTGTATCTAACACTACACCCTGCCTGTAAAGGGCCTCAGCTTTTAGTGTCACCTCCATCTTGACCACATCCTTAACAACTAAATAACAGGAAAAACCAAACACACTGGTAATCTACTGCTAAGCCACAAGAGACAACAGAGGCATTTGATTTCAAACTGCACTCGTAAAGTTGCATGCTGGTGGTAATAGATGGCAGTTATGAGTAAATGTGTGACGTTTAAGCTCTTAAAGCCTCACTAAATAACAATTTTAGCCATATTAGCAGCTGTATGGATGGAGAAGTTAGTCTGTTGTTTCACCAATTTATCTCAACAACTATTGGATGCATTGTAATTAGCAAATGCTGGCATGTTAACAAGCACATTAGTACTTTAGTATTGTCATTGGTGCTATCATGGCTGTAGGCTCTTTGTCTTGTTTGTATTAACAATAAATAAAATTACTTTGTTTTGGTTTCACAGCTGGTAAAATAACTGTATTGTTTAGTCTCAGCACACAAATTTATTTTTCAGCTGTAGCAGGCCACTGTTATTATTATTAGTGAACATTATCAATAATCCCACTGTTTCTGAGATGTTGGTGGAGACCAAAACAGAGTTAAAATGCAAGTGAATATTGGACGTATCAGGTTGCCAAAACCAGAACTCCAAACCCCTAGATAAATATATTTCTGGGCTGTGTGTCTGCCAGCTCGGTGTGGAGTTTTACTTTCCCACGGGCCAAAAGAATAATCAATCCAGCTTTAGACATCAAGAAATGACGGACAATATTTTGGCAAACTTGTTCACTTCAGCTGATCTGTGGCGCTTTACAACCAAAGAAATAGCCAACACCTAATGCACTCTCTGCTCAGTCTATCCACCATTCATCTATAAAAAAGAAACCACGAAGCTTCCCAGTGCTGCTTTAACAAGCTTTCAGTATCCACAGCTGAGCAACTGCCTTCCGCCGAGGCCCCGTTCACACCAGAAAGTCTACAAACTCTTCACCCTTCGCTGGTTTGTTAAACCCAACCAGACCCCAGATGGGTGGAAGCACAGACAGACATTGTTGTAAACTGCCAGAGTGTAGATGTCCAAACATCCCCAAAGAACCTTGTTTTCTTCATTTTCTCTCCATTTTTCTTGAAAAATACTAATTTGTGTGGCGTTTTCAAATCTTTACATAATTGACTTGTCAACCAAACAATGCCGCCAGTACCAGAGCTTTCTAAGGGTGCTACTCTTTTCATGCTTGCTCAGCCATGGTGGCTTTTGCTGTCTGAGCTAACCTTTTCACTCCAAACAAATCAGAGGCCTGTTACACCAAATTTAAACATGCAAGCTGTGATTTAAAACAGAAGAACATTTCTTCTTCCTTATTTTTTTCATTTCACAAACACCATACACGAGAGACAATCACTTGCTGAAACAGGCCCCTGATGTATACATGAAATCTGTATAATGATACATTTTTTTTCCAGTAAAAAGCTAAAAAAACACTGGTTGTGTGATGAAGCCACTAAGGTTTATATTTTATTGAATCCAGTTTCCTTTTCATTGCACTAATTCGTTTATTTTTTTTACAATTTCTTGTCCAATACTGTTTCATAATTTCTTCCGGTTAAGACTTTAAAGGCCAAGTGCTTGTCTTCATCATTCATTGAAAGCCCACTGCATAGCTGTGCACCTACACACATAGTACGGGCAGGACAGTTATAGCAGCAAAAGGCACATGTTTCCCTCTAAAAAGAATCAAATCTAGGGTGGAGTCTGGTGCAGAGTGTTGAGCCATGTGCTCACACAAAAGACAACAGATCAGCCTGGTCCAAGGTTTTGAGAGCTGCTGGCCAGAATAGGGAGAGTGGGACTCAAACACTGGATGTTTCAGCCAAATCCAACTCTCTGATCAGCAACAGCTGTTGGCAAACACACACAACCACATATATATATGTACGTATATATATATATATATATATATATATATATATATATATATATATATATATATATATATATATATATATACTGTATGTTTCCGAGTGTGTTTTTGTTATTGTTGGCTTTGTCCAGCTGGTGATGCCGGAGTGGAAACATTGACACCCTGGGGGTTTATGTAGATATAGACTGGTGTGGATAAATGGATACATAGATGGATCAGTGGATGGAAGAAAAGGGAAGAGAGAGAGAAACAGAAATTGCAGCATGAGGTCATTGAGTCTGTTCAAAAATATTTTCAATTCCAAAAGTTGGCATCTTATACTCAAGTCTACTTAGAAAATTTGAACGCTCATGTCAAAGAAATATATATTTATCGGGTGCAATGGAAAACTACTGGATATACAGAATGGTGAACAATTTCCTGATTTTCTCTCACAATGCATAATAGTATATTCAGCTGTTTTGCTCAGCTATTAAATGCTCCTTATGGAATTTGTATCAAATATAAGAATTATTGGCTTACTTAAACTCCTAAAGAGGCAGTGGACTTTCTAGAAAAGCATATGGGTCCCTGAATACCTTTAACTATGTCAGGAAAATAAAAATGAACTTTCCATTGGACTCTTTATCTACTAACTGGTTTATAAGTCTTTGGTGTGATTTTAACAAATGTAAGGCCTGTTACTTGACACTTACAGCAATACAATACAGCTATTTATATATGCGTTTGCATTATGTTTGATGAAGACACAGTAGTGTTGAAACATTTGTGCCGAATTAAGTAAATTAGCATGCTAAAAACCCTTTTTTTCTCCTCGTAAGTCATTTTCAATGTTTATGATGCTCAGAAAAATATATTAACCTTTTTAAAGTTGATTTTGTAATAATTATATATGTTAAAATATTTACTTGCATCGACGCATTTGAAACATCTGACTTGATGCACAGACACCTGTTTCCATGGAATAAATAAAGGAAAATGTGGATAGTTCAGCAATTATAACTTCCGTGGCAAAACAAAAAAAGGAACCTAGTGCCACCTGTTAGTGATGGACGATGTGTGAAAGACTTGGTTGTGCTGAAGGAATTTTCTACTCTGGCAGAAAAAAAGTCAATATCTCAAGCAGCCATCTGAAAAGTCTAAAATGATTTGAGCCGTGAACGCGTTGACAAGATGAAGCCGTTGTACAAGACTGCAGGGTGCAACAGGCTCTTTCTACTGACATGTGGATGACGACCTGTTGGGTGAGTGGGTGACTTTAATGTGACTACTACTGTTACCCCATAAAGCACACAGCATTGTGATTGTTATATTGTATTTTGATTATAATGTTTAATCTGTGCTGTATGTTCTTCTGCTTCAATATGTTTTCTAGATGAACATTCGTGGCCTTGACTTCAATGCATCAAGACAGAAATTACCAAAAATCAACTGGTATTATATAGAGTATACGCTATAATTAAGGAGTGTAAAATGTATTGATTAATATGAGAAATACAAGACATACCTCTGGGACCAGCAGGTCCAAAGTCTCCTTTTTCTCCCTGAAAACCGCTGACCCCGACAGACCCTTTAATTCCCTGGTTGCCCTGGATCCCTTTTTCTCCTGTAAACCCTGAAACACAAACAGATGATCGATAATCATCAAATAGGAAAACGGTGTATATACATAATATACTGCAACATCCTTCATCAGAGTCAACATCAGCTATGACACCATTCAAAGTTCCTTAACTATTGTGGCCTTTACCTGCTTTAAAGTAAATCATGTAAAGATAATTTAATACATTTTTGTTTAGTGCAGAGATGATCAGATTTTAATTTATGAAATTCAAGTTCAAAGTTAACGCAAACTCCTTCTAATTGGCATTTAAAGATGAAAGCATCCAATCAAATCTAATCCATGAATTAGAGGTGCTGCTGTGGTGCAAAATTAGAAATGACTATAGCAAGGACTTTGTCTTCATTAATAACTTATTTAAATTATGTTTTATGTACAAATCATTGCAAATCTCACTGTATACCATGGCAATTTGAAAAATAGTAATAACATTAGGACTTTATGATACAATTCCAATAAGCCTTACTGCGTCCTTTCCCCCCTCCCTGCCCTGCCACTTCTTCCACCATCTGCCAACGCCTCAAATCTCTGAATGCGTGCCTACGCTCTTTTGTTGCATAAAACAATTTTCTGCAGAGTCCTACCCTGTGGCTCACAATGAGAACTTCTGTTGGCAGTAAGCACACTGAAATGTCTTGAGATCAATGTGCTAATGAGTTATTGATTGAACCGTTGAAGCATGAAGCTAAATCTTGTCGCTCTACCCCGATATGCTCTGATTACATTGTTGTGACTACTCAGCAATCTGAATGACATAATTACACTGAATGCATTAGAGACAGAGACACAAAATGAACTGATGATGGATGAGGTCATGTCTCCCTCAAAAAGCCCACTGTGAAAATGCGATCCATCATTCTCTGGAAGGAGTGCTAAGTGCTCTGCAGAAATGTCCAACAATATCATTCAACAAGCCCAAAAGGGTTATTAGAGCCTGATGATGAATTCTGTAAGCTTTAATAGAAATGGAGTAACAGAAGGGCATGTGCTGCAGATACAGATTATTGGTGATGTGAAATGAAAGAAAATTAGCTTAGCTCTTAATGCAATATATTTGGATAAACAATAAAACTACCACCTAAAATTTGCCTGCAATGTTGTCCAGGCTGAGAACAATATATGGAGCCTTACTGGCCTTGTGTAGTATATAATAACACTGACTAGTTAGTGTTGTTCGGTTCCAATATGATGCATCATTTGCTGTTTGATTGATAAGGTCAACAAGTAATTATATAAAAGGTCCACTCGATTGATTATACCAGAGAACCCCCTGGCAGCGTCAATGATATATGAAGTCTAATTGGGTCAGGTAGTCTATAAGACTGGAGTAGAAGTGGAGGTAGTCACCGTAACGTCATCCATTGGACATCATCCATTGGTGGACTTGAGTTTTGAAGCCTGGAGTTTGGAATTTTTTGACTTTGCATCTTGTTTTATGAAACCATGGTGGTGGAGCTAAGTACAACACTGAGTAAGACATTTTTAGGCGATCAAAATGTTACAATTTACTTTCATAAACTTAAAACCCACTGTGAAAAGGATGAAAACCCAGACAACTCCAAGACTGGACAACACCATGGTAGTGGCCTGTCCATCGCAAGGTAGCCACGTCCTAAAGCATACCCTGCTTTATCATCTGTTTTACTCTAAACTCAGAACCCTCAGAAGTAGGGTATTTTTCTTCTTGACCTCTATAGAATTGGACTTCTTTTTGCAACCAGAAAGAATGCAAGTTTGAGGCACCTCCGCATTGGCTTCCCTTTCAGACCCGGAGGTTGCTGCCTGGTCTAATATACCAGGAGATAGGACTCATCATCAGTTCTAATCGCATGCATCACAATTATCACAGAGACTGCTCTCGCCCATTTCCTCCTTCCCTACAGTTAACATTTATTTTTTTCACTATTTCCTGGAACTATGGCCGTGGTGGGGGGGGGGGTTTGCTTTCAGCAGGAAGATAATGCTTCTTGGAAACGTGAGAGCTGCATTTCATCGGTTAGGGAATGTGGATAAGTTGATGACAGGGGAGGAGCTGGGTTGATGATTCAAGAGGTACCAAGCTGGAAAGGGTCCCAAAACATCTGGATTCACATTGTTGTTGAATTTATCTTACAGTATCTATGAAAATAAGTCATTCCATGGGTCTGAGGTGCCAGTTCTGTCTGGATGAGGGTTCATGTTGTGGTTTTTGGTGGAATTACCTACGAGACGAAGATAGATGACCCGTCCCACAGGCCACGTCCACACCCTGTCTGAAAATAAATCCCCATCCAAAGTCTGGGGCTTTGTTTTCTTAAGGGGATTCATATGACCTGTTTTTATTCTCTGTGCTCACTGCATTATTAAAACAACTGAATTTAATCACAAAAGCAGAGGTCATAACTCCAGCTAAATCCTTTTACGTTAAAAAAGGCTTGTAACTCAAAATTTGGTGTTTACATTGGAAATTTATAGGGCAAGTGCATTTTATGACCTATGTTCTTGTAAAAGTCATCTAAAAACCACAACAGTCCATTATTGACACTGCTTGTGTCACTCTGGCTTCACACTATTCTGTGTGCAATATACTGATCTTTCCTGACTTACAGGTATGACAAAGATGTGTGTAATACTTCCAAAGCCACAATTTCACAGCATTTCCCACAGGTTGAGGATATGTTTGCAGTGGTTGGCATTGAAGTTTGAAGCAATGGTATTTCAATTTAGTATTGAGTCAAACAGGAAACGAGGGGAGAGACATGTGGGCGTAACACGTAACAAAGGTCTACGCTTTGGTTATGTATATATGTGCCTTATATGTTCGGGCCATCAGGACCTCGCTCAGTCTTCATATTTAACGGACACATTTGTGAGTGGTATCGATCGTATCATCTAACTCTGCTAGAAACAAAGTATTTCCAAAAATCTCAAACTATTCTTTGAATAGGTCTTCGGCCATTTGTATGCAATTCAAAAACTGAGGACTGGTTGTCTGGTTGTACCCACCTCGCAGACCTGTCAACCCAGGAGCCCCAGGGGGCCCCAGTGGTCCAGTATCACCCTTCTCTCCCTTTGGCCCCGGAGGTCCTGCAAAAAGAAACACAATTAAGCTCACAATTGATTACACTATGAGTTGGTAATACCACGCAAACAATGCAAATACTAACACAAATATAAGAGACACTCAATAACACTTAATAACTGCATGTTGGATCGCTTATCATCAAAGGTTTTGCCAAAATCAATCAGGAATCATGTAGATTATCACTTGAAAAGGGAAAACATGAGACCATATAATGATTTTATCAATGTCAGGAAACCTCAGTCCTATTCCTCATTCATCATAGTAGCTACACGCACACACACACACACACACACACACACACACACACACACACACACACACACACACACACACCAGCCAAAATGTAGGCCAAACTGGGTCTTACAAGTAGTTTAAGGATTCAATCCAAAAATGTTGTTTTACTTGGAGAAAGTGAGTGAAAAAAAAGCCAAATAGTGATTGAAAGAGGGCAAGAGAGACACACACATACAGTGAGAAAGAGAGAGGGAGAGAGAGCGAGAGCAAGAGCGAGAGCGAGAGGGGCCTGGCCACAATGGGAGCCACATGTTTAACAAGGTGGACCAAAACACAGCTTGTGGGAATGCTTAGAAATTCAGGGCTTGTTTTTGTCCAGGGGTTCTGATCCTTCAGAGCCTCTAATGTTCTTCATTTGCAAGTTTCTGGTGCCGATAAACAGCCGGCGTTGAGATACAGATCTGCCTGCTGCTGCCTCGAGCAGCTTCACAACTGGACACACTTAACTGGTGACCGCAGGTCAGGAGCCTGCTAAAAGGTCACATTAAGAGGTGACGCTGGGTGTAAATGTGTGTGTTCTCTCATTTCTATCCTTGTATGGATATTCTGTATCAACAGAGAAAACAATTGGCTATTTCGATTAATTGTTGATTTAAAAAGTTTCGTTTTAAATAACAAATGGTAAACATTCCCCTTCCATTGTTTCTGTAGAGTTTCTGTAGGGACCATCTTCATTTTGAAATCCTTTGTGCAGATTTGACCTGAAGACCTGATCTGACCTGAGTCTTGTCAGTTTTGGGAAGACTTAATCTGCTACAGATCTTGGACTTCTGCACACTTTCACAGTACCCCACGGACCCATGAATGGTCAGCAGTCCACAATATAACACGAACAACAGATGTTGCAGTTTTAGTCAGTCAAAATGTAGCAAATGACTGGGTAGAAAAGGGCTTAATTGTCTGAGTGTTTGTACTGAGTGTTTGTAATTATTTTGGCCAGGAGTCAGCCTCTCTGTCTACTGTTTTTATTTAATTATCTTTCTTGGGTTTAGCCAACACCAATGAATTTCACTATATAGGCTATTCTATACACAGATTTCATCATAGGGAAACATGAATATTTATACAAAATTATGTTTTAGTCATCTAATAGATATTTCACTGGATAATGGAAAACTTGCTGGGGCAAGAAATTAAATTTTGTTCACAGCCCCCAGAAGATGAATCCTACTGACTTTTGTGAACCCTTGACTCTTCATATAGCATGAAGATGCCTGGTTCCATTTTTCCACTGATAGAGATACTGAAGTTTTCCCTTTTCTCTTCTTAATGACTTTTTATTGTGATGTTGGGTATGAATAAATATATCAAATCTTAAGAGTTAAACCCCAACGTTTCTGTTCAACAGCAGTGAGATAAAGCTGGACTCACTGAGCTTTTTAAAGTTTGTGTCTGCATGCCTAAACTTTGGTACAGTTCACCCTGGTGGTCGTGTAGAAATGATGTCCTTGTTAATAGTTTGTTTTAGTAGAGCTTCACATTATTAATCTCCTGGCTCTCAGAGTGTGTTCGTTCAGTTGCCAGTGTTGCCACAATAACAAGCTCAGCGGCCCCTTCAGGATCACCCTGAAAACATCTGACAGCACTGAGTCCAAGAATACAACAGGAGTTCAGGCGCCTCCATCAAACATCCAGTCTGTGCTACACATCTATTGCAGGATGGAGCAGCAGAGCAGTGAGCTTGTCTTTTTTTGGAGACGGAAGGTCTCAGCAGAGACCACAAAAAGCTGTGATGGGACTATATGCATGTTAAATGTAAGGGGAGATAAGGAGCGTGTTGCGAAATCCCTCACGGTGACGAACGACCCAAGGCATTATCAGGGATTTTTAACAAAGAACAGATGGACAAAACTGTGATCAAAATGAGGCTAAAATGTTCAATGTATGTCCCTAATCTGAGACAACTGGGTTGTGTTTGAAAGTGATTTGTTCTGAGCGATTTAGTCCACAAAGTGCCTTGGCTTTACAGATACTGTTACTCAGAGACGATATAGTATAAGAAGATATATATTTACCTATTTACCCTTAGAGACATTATCGTAAAATATTGTATCTTGGATTAGAACTTCTCCTGGTTGCCTTCAAATAAAACCCAAATACTAAAAACCTGTAGAAGAAGGAGCCTCTCAGTCTGTGCAATGGATCGACATAGTAAGAGATATATATTGGTAACATACATTAAAATTGTTACAAATAAAAAGCAACAAAATAAATAAATAAATAATGATGCGAGTTGAATGTGAGTTTGTGTAGGCCAGCCTCAACTGAGCTAAGTAACTCTTCACGAGTAAAGAAAACCACTCAAAATGTTCATTCATGGTCATCAGACGACACAGAGGGCTGTAAACGTTTCCAGGCCTCAGCTCCGCTCAAAGCGAGTCATAACATATGACTAACTCAGCATCCATCCAAATATGTACATGTCACCACTGCTGTGGGAAAACCCTGTGACATGGTAATCTGGATTTCAATAACACTTATGTATGAAGTTGTGTCATCTTATCGCAAAACTTGGAGAAACAACTGTGAATTAGCTTGAGAGAAAAGACCTATCCAGTAATTATGTAACTCTGAGTAGTCTCATATGATAAATTTGTTTTCAAATATAGGTCACCATAACAATAAACTTAAAGCCCCCTGGGAACTCGGCTACATAAGCAACAGCCAAAGTATAGGTTTGGAAGTTTAAAGCAGCTATAATAGATATTTTTCATTATACTAGTGTGTTGTTATAGTTTCAATGTGAAAGGAGTCGCTTATAGTAACGAACACAGAGAATCATCACCTGAATTGTAGCTCCCCTCAGTTTTACTGAGCTTCATTGCAAGTTTCATTCACATCTGTTTATCTGTCTTTTACTGTTTTGATTAACTCTAGCTAACGCACTGTAGTCCAAAAGATGGCATTTTCTTATTATTGTTGGCAATGCGAGAGTTTTATCCTCACCACTGGAGCAAAAGATCAAACAGGAACTAACAAAGGACCTATTTCTTGTTGGTGTCTTTACATAACAGCGTGTGGGCCTATTCATAAACGTCAGCAAATATCTCCAAACACAAAGACGGAACTCAAATGAATGTGAATACACAATGTCTCCCACTCTCTGTCTAACACACAGACACACACACACACACACACACACACACACACACACACACACACACACACACACACACACACAGTGACTGTGGCTCACTGGGTTAAGAGGGTTGTCTGGCAACGGTTCGATCCTCGACTGGGACGTGTCATGTGTCAAAGTGTACCTGAGCAATACACTGAACCCCAGGCTGCACGGGCGCCTGTCATTGGCAGCCCACTGCTCCCTATATACAGGGATGGGTCAAATGCAGAGACAAATTTCCCCCTTAATAAAGAGATCAATATAGTATAATAAATAAAAAAAAAATACAATATGATACAATACGATAATTAAGTTGTAATCAAAATCGCCTGATACATTTTCACTTAGTGGGCGCAAAGTACTGTGAAAGATACCATGTTGTACAATCATTTACCACCTGGAGAGGTAAAAGACTCCAGGCAACATTTTAAAACAGCTTCTCATGTGTCTTTATCATTAATACAACATGTGTGGCAAGAACATCCCTGCGTGAGTCACAGAGGAATTAAAGGCAGATGAACTGAAGAAGAAGAAAAGGGAGAAGAGGACGGAGAAAAGGAGGCACGACAAGGGAACACAACAGGGGAGTATAAACATTGAAATGCAAAACATTTCTTGGCTAAGGTACCTGCAAGCTAACAACAAACAAATGGGCTGCGGAGCTAAAACTAATGACAGAGCTGAGTGGTTGAGTTTTCAACCTGGACGTAGTCGAGTCTAAATTTATCCCACAATTGTTTCCAGGCCCAGGAGAAACGGCATCCCACCCACATGTGACACAGATGCGAGTTCAGGGGTCTTGTTCGGTTTGAGTTGCCATCAATCAGCTCAGGCCGCGTCCCCTGCCAGCATTACGTCATAGCATACGTATTCTGATTTTAACAAACCGGGGAAAGTCATTTTGTGCCCTGGCAGTTAGAGTCGTACCACGTCGGGACTAATCAGATCTGGAGAGATTTGAGGAAGAACATTCAGAGTTGCTCAATACCCCGGGGTGGTAATCCCACGGTGTAAAACCATGTTAGCATGCTACGGTCACTTGCATCCAATCACGACGCAAACATCCATTGGCTCAGACCCACTAGTGTAAACGATCTTTTTGGAGCGCAAAGGGATTATAGAGGGATTCATAACAATAAGAGTTTTAAATTCTCAAGTTCTCCTACTCGTGTAACTTTGCAAACAAAACTGTGTAGATGTCTTGTTTTGTATATTTCACTAAATTAAATGAAAGATTCTTTGTCCTTAATGTTGGTATTTTGCACACATGCATGTTATCCATGAAGTCTCATTTTTGTCATGATCAGACTTCTTTTCTCAAAGCAATTTAGCCCAGTTCAAACTTGGACATTTTGACGCCTTTTGACCTGCACATCACATAATTAGAGCTTACTGGACAGGAGTACTAAAGCTAACCACAAATGCCAATGACAGGGCCAATGACAGGGGCACTTGGGTCACTCTTGGGCCAAAATGAAGAATTGAATTGTCCCCTTTGGTCCCCTTTCTTGGTTCAACACAAGTTTTAAAAAGGGGCTCTTTTGCATTCAGGGCAGCAATCTGAAAATGTTTCTTTGCTGACCTTCAAATATGGTGAGGTTCTTCAGGGTCAGGGAGTGCTCCCAGTCCTTCAGGCGGAGGTCCTCTGTGATTGTGTTGAGGATTTCCATCTCGTTCCTCAGCTGAGCCTCCGTGTGGACGTGGGTCACCCATAAACTGCTGGTGTCCTCTGTTATGTTGCTGATCTGGATCTGAGCAGCAGGAGTACAGGCAGAGGGAGTGTCAACAGCTGCAGTAGTTCCACACTTTGCTGCAGTCAGATTTCCTAGTTAGATACGTATTATGTCAGTCGTGTATCTTATAAATGTTGACTTTGAGCTTTCAAAATGTCGTTAAATTGATAGGACATTTTTGAGAATACTGTGATGAACCTGCAAGTCTTGTATCTTCACGTGGTGAATACTGATGTCGTTGCTGAAGGTGTGATTGACAGCTCCCACCGTCCAATTGACCTCGTCCAGTTTCTCTGTCAGCCTGCTCACCTGTCCTGAGGTTTCCCTGACAGATAAAACAACAGAAACAAATAGAACTTTATTCCTCTAATTCAATTTATTATGTCATACAGAGTCTCTGTTGTGATGGAATTACACTTCCACGCTTTGGAAATGAGGATTTTTACTGTAAAATAAATGTGTACCTGAACAGGAGGTCCTGGTCCTGGAGCCAGGTGGAGGCTCGGGACACCTCTGCACTCAAGCCCGTCAGGTTCCTGCCGGTGGAGCTGCTTAGGGAGGACAACCTGTCGTCCAGCTGCACCAGGTAGCCCTCTGACTGAAGGGAGTGAGCCTGGCTGCTCCTCAGCTCCACCTCCAGGCTCTGTGGGTGAAATAACTTAAAACTATTAAACTAAAGTAATTCATCAAAAGTGTCACTTATAAAGATAAGCACTTGAAAATCCCAGTGAAAAACACTGATTGTTGAGTATTAATCTAAAACTCTATACGTATCTCCTTTACTGTCACTGAATACTCCGTCATCATCAAACTATATTCATGTCCTGGAAGACGGCAGGTCTAAAATCCTGCTTTGTAGAAGCTCTTGTTTTGCTTTTTGACAGTCTTCTGTCGTACCTTGATGAGGATCTCCAGCCTCTGCAGCCAGTCGCTGTGGTTCTGGAAGAGATTCTCCATTTTCCAGATGTTCTCCAGCAGGTCGGCCTGAGTGGACGCCTCGCCCAGGGTCGGCTGGAGGAGCCGAGAGTGCTCAGACATCCGGGTCACGTTCTCCATAAGCACCTCCTGCCGCTTAGAAGACACCTGGGAACGAGAGACTGGGGAGAGAAAGAGAAAGAAAAGAGAGTGAGAGATTTGTTTTTGGTGTTGATGCAATGATCCCTCAGTCCCGAAAACGACTATCATTTACTATCAATCACTACTGTCAGCTTAGACCCAGCCAGCACTTAAATGCAGAGCAGATGTTGACTAAGTCGCTTGCTCTAATTTTGATTATCTATTCTTGCTAAATGTATTGTTTTGTTAAATTAGACCAATATTTTGATGACTTCAAAAGTAGTTTCTAGAGTTGGCTCACTGTGAGGTTCTCTGTGTTTACTGACAGCATATTGTGGAAATTCTGTCTTCATTTTGACCGATGTTTAAGTTGGCCTCTTCGTGTTGATGTTCGTCCAATACTTGCAGGAGGGAGAGCATTAGCCCAGAGTGTTTTTTAAAGATATGACATATCGATTTCTAATGATGGAAAGTAACTACGATAAGCGCATTTTACTCGAGAACTACTTAAGTACAATTTTTAGGTACTTTTACACCAGTTTAAACTCCATAGGGAAATATTGTACATTTTACTCTACTAAATTTGTCTGACAACTATACTTCCTAGTTACTTTAGACAAGATATGATGAGCTTGTTAAATACAACACATTGTTGAACATTAAATATTGTTTATTATTTAAAAAAGAGGATTAAAGCATAAAAAAAAAAAAGTATCTTTTGAACCCTTTGGAGGAGGCCCAACCAGAACAAACCTTTACTTGTACTGGAGTATTTTTACATTGTAGTACTGGTACTTTTACCAAAGCAAAGGGTCTGAGTACTAATTTATTTGTTGACCTTGCCTATCCATTAAAATGACAAGAAAGTGCATTTTGTTTTTTGTCTCATCATCTATTTGTTATAATGTGTAATAACATAACTTAACCTTAAATATATATTCAATTAGAGGAACTTTTTGATGACAAATTGTAAACACGCAAATCTGAAAGAAACAGAATTATGAAGGAAGAGGGACAACATGAGAGTTTGTGGAGAGTTTGAGGACAACATCATCTGAATTACACACGAGTGTATTTAGCTGTTACTTCACATTTGCCAACAGTCAACATATAACTGATGAAGCTTTCTTGTCTTGTTTTTGGCTGTTGCATAAAGGCCACTTCTTCTTTTTCTTTTCCTCTGTTCTCCACCGTGCCTAATAAGAAAAAGCTCCTCGGTTTCATGTTATGTTGAGAGCAAGTTGCATGGTAACGGCTCGATAGCCTGGGAGATATTTTGAAACCAGATCCTTAGTGTTACGCCATGACGACATTCTCTCTGTGGGATAGCGGGGACCGATGTGTGCAAAATTCCTCCAATGGAGAAAAAAAGGGAATAACTTGGGAAATGAGGGGAAGCAGAGAATTCCCGTCCCACATGCTACATGCTCTTGGACACGGTTATGCCCCTAACAGTCCCATATCACATACCATATCAAAGTTTGTGTGTGGCTTTATGCGCAAGCATCAAGACCAAGAAACGTGTGCATGACCTCAGAGCGAAGAAAATTGCTGCAAAGCCAGAAGTGCTGCAAACAAACCATCTCAATTCCCCGCTCATTACGTGTGTTAGGTTTATTCCTAATGACCTGAAAAACTAAATAAGCCCAAATCTCTCCACTACACAGAGCGCTTAATTGCTAAATGATGGTCTGTCAGCATTGGTGAACACACAAATTATAGATCAACCAGAACCTGGAATGGAGTTTCTCAGCAGTACTGGTGCTTCAGAATGAAGAAAAGAAGAACATATAGTCAACCAATATTAGTCGAAATAACTTTTTAGATGCTTATTTTATTGTTTCACTCCTCTCAGCTACTGAATGTACATTTCTCACAGTCACTTGATTGAGACCGTAGTGCCGTATGGTTGATCCTACCTTTTCGTTCCTTTTGTGGAAACTGAGTAAAACTGTCAAACCATCTGAGCTTGATTACGTTATATATTTGCAGGGCCTCGTTAATAACCAAGCACAATGAACCTCCTCATGCTTGCAGTCCTAAAGGCACTTTGGCACTGCGGCAGTTACCTGAAATACATCGTACAAGCAGACACTTGACTACTCACAATTACTGCAAGTGTGTGTAATAAGGCAAACCCTTATGCCCAGTTCAGACTTTATCAGCCCAATTTTATAGCTCAACCTGCAGACATAGGGTGTCTCGACCGGATCAGGTACAATAATGGGCGTCATTATGACATTCGATTGTGTGTGTCCCGTGTAGTACATTGTACACCTGGGACACCACAAAATGTCCCGACAGAAAGACTAGCATGTTTGTTTTTTTGCGAAGTGTTCCCTCATGTCCACGACTTTGACCAATAGGAGCACAGAGCGCTCTTCCTGGTACAATCGCAAACATGGCGGAGCAAAGAGGGAATTATGTTGTTGATGCTGTGAGGAGGAATTTGCAACAGAGGAAATATCTCAGTTTTTATTTCATTTTTTATTTTTTATTTTTCTGAACACTAGACAGCCAGCATCATACACACTGCAATTGAAGTTTAATTCTTGTTCCTTGAACTCAGTTTCTAGCACTTCCTTCCCGATGGTAAACTTTGTCATGTCTTTCCGAGTCACACCAAGAATTCATGACTCTACAATCGTCTAATCTGACACAGTGACCGAATATTGTGTTGTTTGAGCGCGGCATGAGAAGGTCAGAAAGAAGAAGAAGGATGAAAACGAGAAGGACGAGGATGAGGGCGACAGCATCACTTTGGGTTTCTGAAACTCTTTCTTAATTTACAAAACATCTACCGTGGTCAGCATAAAATCTGTTTTTCTTAATTTAGCTTATAAAATGTTTACACTTTGGAAAACAATTTTCTCGAAAAGCGACAAAACATACGTGGATAAATTTCTGTTTGTTAATCTTGTTAGGATACTTTGAAAGTTACAGGTGGAGCAGCGGCACAGAGCTCAGTGTTAACGTAATCCAAGAATGGTTTCCAAATTTTCGGAAATTTGTCAGGGGAACTGAACAATGTGGTTTTTCTAATTGAAGGTGCAGAATTACATTTCTTAACCACAGACTGCTTGGGGGTTGGGGGTTCTCACAGTTCAGGACAACTGTGGGGTATTAGAGTGAAGACATGTAAGCTTATTATCATACTTGGTTGCCAGAACGCATTTGAACAGATTTTCCTCCGCATGTCTCACTTTGTTTCCTCTGGTTACACCGCCCAAAGGAATTATCAATCAGCATTAGAAATCACTCTCCACTAGTTGATGTCTGTTGAACTGCAGCTTTGTTAACATGGAGAGCTCTGCATATACAATCAACCAGACCACAGAGGTCACTGTCAGGGAACAGAATGGAGATTTAAGGCTTTTCTATTCACACTATTATTCCTAAAGCAGTAATAATGATACGGCGCAATTGTCATTTTTTCGGACAAGTGTAAGGATATTTTTACCCATTTAACAAAGTGGACATTTATTAAATATAAATGTTTAAAGAAGCAGGTAACTGTCTTGAACTGTAAATCAAACTGCAGTGGGTTAAAATGTATAGTTTTATCCAGAATACCTCTTGAAATCACTAGTAAAAACAAACATACATGAATTTATATATAAAAAAACAGTAGGGAAAAGACATTTAACCCAGATAGCTGTCATTGTACTTCTCTTTCAGTCATCGACCCTCATAATGTCAGACTGCTATTGAGTTACAACAGGAGAGATGAGCGGGTGTTAAACGACTTCAGGCGAAGATGGTGAGAAATTAACTGAAAGAAGATACACATGTCTGACAAATCCATTTCAAACCTCTCAGCTCAGCTCTGTAGGATGGGAAAGTCATCTCAAGTCATAGTTTTTTCCATTGACCTCCTATTCTTTCCTCTTTATTTCACACACATGGATGGCAGCAATACTCAAAACAGATTAGTCCCAAATTCACAGCTTCATGGTCTTTGGATTTTTCTGTGGAGTAGAGGACATTCATGAACCAAATGTTCGGAGAGTGGTCCAGCACGACAGCTGGACTTCAGTGTGTGTTGAAATGAGAACTGTTTGTTCAGTCCTCACATGGTCTTCTATGCTAGCAGTGGATTCATATTACTTGCAGTGTTTTATCTGCATTCAACATGATTAGCACTTTCAGTAAACAATCAAAACATTACCTAAAGAGCAAAAGCTGGCCAAAAGGGTAATCACTTATTTGATAGATATGAATCATTTTAAATGACCAATATACTACAGTGAACTCATACTGAACTACGTAAATGCGTATACCAAACTGTGAAAATAAATGTTGGCATTGAACTTTTCTGCAAACCACGAGGTATGTTGAGTGCTGCGGATTGTGAACCGAAAATACGTTTCATAAATATGTTTCATCAGCATAATATCACACTTTCAGACACGCACAATGTCCCATTGTGAAACAATAAGTTATGTTTAGGCAAAAAAATGACTTGGTTAAAGTTAGACAAAAGATCATGATGTAAATGTTCATGTGCAGTTCATGCAACCTTAGAAAGATGGGATCTGGATGGCTGTCTATTTATTGCACAAAGACTCTTTCTGTTGGATGTTCTCTCTGTAGCTCTTTCTTTCACGCGTGCACAAACCTTATCTTGCTATACTTGTGAGGACTTTCCCTAGACTTAGTCTTAATTTGTTAGCTTCTTTACAGTGCATTCAACACGAACCTCAACCCAAATCTAATCTAAAGCCAAGAGTAACCCCCAAACAAATAACTAAGATCCTGGCACATTTTGGTCACCACAATGCAGGCGAGTCCTCATAACATAATTCCGAGTCATGGTCCCTGCAAAGTCACACACACACGATCATGTTTTTGATGACTTTTCGGGACATTACATTGACATACATTCATTTCCTGGAGACTCACTCTAACCATAACCGCTACCAGTCTAATCTTAACCCTTACTCCAACCTGAAGCTAACCTTGCTGTCACCTTAAACCAAGTCTTCATCCTGAAATGTAATACTTGTAATACTATGGGGATGTGCATTTTGTCCCCGTAAGG